GAAAGATGTAGTTGGCGCCCGTTCCATTTTGGGGGACGCCTTCCTTGCCAATCCCAACTCGGAACGCATCTTTCTTGCTGCTGTCAAGCTTGAGAACGAAAACCAGGAATATGATAAGGCCAGAATCCTTTTGAAGAAAGCCCGCCATTCTTCTAATACGGATCACGTTTATTAACTTTTTTCTTCTGCATTTAAACCTTTTGATCCACTTTCTGGTCTTCAATAAAGGTTTGGATGAAAAGTGCTCTGTTTGAGTGGCAGCAGAACAACTGCAAGCGGGCTTTAGACTTGCTGGAAGAAGGTTTCTTTATTTATACTATAAACACTTTTTCTTTTTCTTATTTCTTTTCCAAGGCTCTCGGAAATTTCCTAAATATTCCAAGTTGTGGATGATGAAAGGTCATATAAACGAGCAATTGGAAAGCTTTTCGGAGGCCCGGAAGGCCTACAATGATGGGATCGGCTTTTGCCCAGATTCTGTGCCCCTATGGCTGCTCCTTGCGCGTTTGGACTTGAAAAGCGGTTTCATTTTCTCTCTAGTTTGACTTTTTTCCGCCGAACCTTCCCGTTTATAGCTCTTGTTAGGCTATAATTCCAAGGCTAGAGCTGTTTTGGAGCGCGGACTCGTTGCCAATCCAAAAAACGAGGAACTTTGGTTGGCCTCTACTGTTTGGCCTCTACTGTTTGGCCCATTCGGTGCCGGACTAACGCGCGACCTCTCAGGCTCGAGCTCATCACTATTGAAACCAAAGTCGGAAACCACGCCGTTGCGCTTACTAAACTGACCACAGCCCTCCAAGAATGTCCTAAGTCTGGTTTGTTGTGGGCTGAGTCTATTTTTCTCGAGAACCGGCAACAGCGCAAGTCGAGGAGTGTCTACGCCTTGAAGCAGTGCGACAGGTGCGAACTGCGACCTCGGCTTTGCTATCTCAATACTGTTATTGAGGAACCTTCTGCAGCGTGCACGTGGTACTCGCTGTTGCGAGGCTTTTCTGGAGCGAGCGTCGCATCGCCAAAGCCAGAAACTGGTTTGACCGAGCCGTCCGAATGCAACCTAATTTGGGCGATGCCTGGGCCTTTTATTATGCTTTTGAACTTCAGCACGGAACGCCCGTAACCCCTATTTTTGCCTGTTGCGAATATTAGAGAACAGTTTACTTGACTTTTAAAATCAACAGCAACAACAGCGTGACTTAGTCAAAAAGTGTGCTACAGCCAAGCCGAAGTACGGCCGCTACTGGGCCCCGGTGGCCAAAGACGTGAAGAACCACCGTCTTTCTACTCCTAAGCTTTTAGCTCTTACAGTAACTCAGCTTCCATCCTTGCAGTAAATAGAAATGCCATCCCAGCCCCTTCGTCGCTTTGGACAAGCGCCGCCATTTGCGAAATAAACTGTAGCTCTAGTTAACTTTTTTGTTAGGTTTTCAAACTTTATCTGGCTAAACAGAAAATCGCTTGAACATATTAAAGCTGTTGCAATTTATCTTCATTAGCCTAACAATATTGCGATTCAGAGACACAGCAACGCCAGTTTTTTATATATTTTTTTTACTATTAGATTTGGTTGGTCTCTCACTTTGTTCCTAATTTTAAGAGGTTAATAAGAACGAGTAGTTCCAACAATGAGACTTCTCTTTGTTATCAAAGAATTCAATTTTAGCCTATCACTTGAAAGTGATCTAAATTTTTGCTCTGGTTACTACCAGTCTGCACAACTAAAATTCTTTATTTATAAGCGTAGTTACTATTTCTATCTTCTTTTTTCAATAACGCATTATTTTATTCTCGGGGCTCCTTTGCATTGATTGAAACAAAACATATGAAAGTCTTTTTAACAGTATTTAAAAAGGTTGGAGGTTCATATACTAAAAAGTAAATATTGGTAAGGGTTTATAAAAACATTGCCTTCAATACTTATAATTTTAATCATGATATAAGCCTTATAAATTGTTCATATGAGCCTCAAACCTCCCATTTCATATTATTTATAATTAAAAGTGGAGGTCCGAAGGGCCTCCGTTTAGGGATTCAAAACCATAAGCTGTGGAATACTTTTAAATTTTTGTGTAATTCAAAATTTAAGTCCTAAAAATAATGAGAAATTGCTTATGGATTTTGATTAATCATATCTTCTATCAATGCAATATTTTAAAAAGAAGGCAAATATTTATAGGGGTACAGAACAGAAAATCCTATAAAAAATTTAGTGCTACAACTATTATTTCGGCTTAAAAACTTTTAAAATCCTCAGAAGTGTTAACTTTAGTTTCTGCTAAACTATAGCACCCATCTCTTCACATCCGCACCCGAAATCAGCTCAGGGCGAGCGGAGTTAAATACACATAAACTAACTAAAGGGACCTTTCGCAAAATGTAAATAATCTTATCAAGTTTTATAAGGCTAGCCAAATCTTTTGATTGGAAATAGAATAGAACTTAGGTGGGTGGTTCAAGTTTAATGACGAATAAATAACCAGCATCCAGTAAATTTCTTTCCTTAAAGTGGAGTTCCAAGTAAACAAAAGTTAAAAGATCTGGCACAACTGCAATAAAAGATTTTATTGATTCACTTCATTTGTTCGAATCTACTGCCCGAGATGCTGTTGTTTGTGAATAAGAAGAAACTTAACTATAACTGTGTTAGCTACTTTGATTTGAGGTGAACTCGCCGATAAATGAGATTAGTGAGGGTGATCAATTTGGTAATAAAAAAATTAAAGTTTCGCTTCACAGGTTTATTTTTTAAAATTCTAAAAACTTTACGTAGGTACCATTTTCTCCATAAGTCGAAGCTAGTTCTATAAATTCCAGGAGCTTGTTTTCATTTGAAAGTTTAACACAAGTTTAAGTCAAAACCGGTATAGGGTAAAGCACAATGGTCCTAACTGTTATTTATATCTTTTTGTTTCCAAAAATTAGCTTATTTAAGTGTTTATAACCAGACGAGGAGTAAAAGCCTCTTTTGCCTTTTCTTTAGTAGGTGTAATTTAATATGCCTGTTATTGATTCTGTTTCCAGTGGACAGATTTTAGAAATCCCATAGAGCAATCACTCTTTGTTGGTATCTGTCAAAAGCCTTGCCTGTAAGCTTTGCTTAAGTGATAATAGACAGAAAGTTGGTATTTCTCATAGTACTGCGAAAGAACCTCTTAATAGTCTAAAGAAAAGACTCTCGCCTAACGTGGTTAGAGCTTTTGGTCATTTCAAAGAATTTTATGAAATTATGACTTAGTTATTAATTTTTTAGCAGGTTCACCCACTCACAAAACTTACATACTTTGAGGTAGCATGCCCTTTCTTTTTTTCCTATTGCATATGGTTAATCCTCACCTTTGCGTACATTCGGTTCGGCTACCACTTCGCAACGACGAAATCTTGGCGAAAGCGATGACAATAAAGCTAAACTTTTTACTAGTCATCTAGCCCAATGTTCGTCGTCTACCCCCTCAACGGACGGCAACTCTTCCCTTGTGCCTTTTATTTCGTCTGATACAACTAATTTTCTGGCGCTTTCTATCACAAGTAAGATCAAACCAATTACCAAATTACTACCGAAGCGAAAGACGCCCTGCCCTGACGGCATCAAAACAGTTGCCAGAGGCTGTTATGAATCATCTATGCAGCTTCGGTAATTCGGTGTTGCCCTTCCGCTATTTTCCCGGGCGTTGGAAAATGGCGGTATGGCGGTAGTCGTGATGTTACCACAGACGTCACAACTTTCGGCGGAGCCTCACAACTATCTGCCAGCCAGCCTTTTGTCGGCAGTTAGTAAGATAGCTGACAGTGATTACCTAATCGTTTGGAGGCGGTCGTAGACGCTGATGGGATTTTACCAGAGTTTTAATGTGGATCGCAAGGGACACTCAACGGCCCAAAAAATTCTTCACTTAACCGGGTGACGAACCAAAGTCTTTAATTTTAGAAGCTCACTGGCGCGGTCTCTCTCGACGTTGAGAAGGTTTTGACCGAGTATGGCATGGTGGCCAGATAAGGAAGCTATATGCTCTGGCGATACCTAAACGGTAGGATCCCCTACGTGCGAGTAGGCGCTCTTCTATCACCGCTGCTATTCGCTCTCTATACGAGCGACATTTCTCTTCCAGTTCACCCTTACACGCGGGTCGCCATTTACTCCGCTGATAGGATGATTTTTCTTCGTCAAAGTCACCCGTTTACTATGGCAGCACTTAACAATTTTATCTCTACGCGCAAGGGTCTTACCATTAACGCAGTAAAGGCCAAGGCGCTTCTTATAACGAAGAAACGCCATGCTGCTGACTCCGTTAACTTTTAACGTTATTAAAAATTCCGTGGTGTTCTCAGGTAAATTACCTGGGGACCCTTAGAGAATTCTAAGTCGTCGCGGCGTCCAAACGTAAATTGCGAGGCGATGAAGGTCAACTCAGCCATATCCTCTATTATACAGCAAGAGTAAACTTTCGTTGCGCCATAAACGAAGGCTTTGTGTTGTGCATTCGACAGAGTATGACGTAATGCATCTCCTGTCTGGGCCTACGAATTATCGGCAATAACGTCTTCGCTTCAAGTGCGACAGAACAAACTACTGTGCCTTCTACCAAAAGCGTTGTGGTCTGTGCACAAAGATACATTCAACAAGAACTACGGATTGAACTGCTGACCACACTCTATAGAAATGAAGCCATCGCCCTCCACGAACGGATAGCTGGAACATACTAATCTCCTATTAGCGAAAGAACACAGTTACAGGTTGTGGGGCGACCCACAAAACCGCCGTTTAGGCGACGCACTTTTAGCATGTCGGTTGAAAGCTAGGTTGGGGGTTAAATTGAACGTGATGGTCACATGTGAAGATAATAATTTTACTTGTGCTCGTGGGCGGCTAAAGACCTATTTGAGAGTTCATGTATTTCGAAGTTGCTAACTCGAGCGAGCACCAACGCCATTAATATGTTTAATGCCCATATGGGATATTAGTTAGCATGTGTTTTATGAAACCTACCGTTTTGCTGTCGACAAACGTTGTATTACTCTGGATATACTTCTCTTCGATACAGTGAAAGTAATGGCGACTACTTTAAAAAAGTCTTTGGAAGATACTTTTCATACCACTAACCTATATAAAAGTTCTCTACAGTATATCATATGTAATATAAGTTTTTGTAGAGTAATATAAACGTTAACAGTATTTTAGGTTATATAGTATAAGCATCTATATATATTATATATATATTATTATTTGCTTAAGATAGTTCTTGGAGTTGAAGATTCAAAAATACCTCATTGTAAAATAAAGGAGGCTTATTATAAACTTGCTCTGCAATGGCACCCCGATCGAGTTACCGAGGAAGCTAAAGACCTAGCTAAAACTAAATTCCAACTTCTCGGTAAAGTTTACGAAATTTTAAGTAACCCTGAACAACGTTGTGTGTATGATGAAACTGGAGATTTTGGTTCACCAGATGATTTTCAGTTGGTTGTAAGCTTTTTATAAACTTCAGCTTTTAGCCATAGCATTTTTATATTTTTTGTAAGCAACGAGATTGGGAAGAATATTGGAGGCTGATATTTAAAAAGATCACATTTTCTGATATTGAATCTTTTAAAAACGCCCACCGCAATTCTAATGAAGAAATAAACGAATTAAAGCAAGCGTATATGGAGGCAGAAGGTTTGCTTTGATTTATATAAGCCTTTGCAAACTATATAGCAAACCGCATACAAATTTTTATTCTTGTGTTACATTCTAAGGAAGTCTGGATAAAATTATGAACTTCGCCTTTTGCTGTGAGCCCGAGGAAGAAAAACGCATTGTGGACATAATAAATAATTTAATATTAAGCGGAGAGCTTACAGAGTTACCAGCCTGGGATAAGTCGCTTTCAAAAAGTAAGAAAAAGAAACGGGCTAGAAAGGTAGAGTGTCTATGCTAGTTACTTTAATTTAAGCGTCGTAGGGAAGCAAATTGTTTTTCATCTTTGAGGCTTTGAAAGAAAAGCTCGAGGCTGAAAAGCTGGCTCAGAAACTTGGAATGATAGTTGAAGGAAAGGGCAGCGAGGTCTTCTTTTTTTTAATTTTTATTAAAGTAGCCTTTTTCTAACGCGACTATGAGGTAGAAGGGCACCCTAAATTCTTTAATATTGGGTAACCAGGAGAAACGTAGAAAAGAGGCGGAGAGCTTTATTGCGAGAATTGAAGCTAAGTATGCTGGTCAGAAGAAGGGCAGTGGCCAAGTGGACTGCCTGTTTTTCTTTTCTGACTTTGTTCTGATTACAAAAATCCGTCGTGCAGCTGCCCTCTGAGGAAGAGTTTCTGAGCGCTCGATGTAGACTCGACAGTAGACGCCGAGGTAAAGGGAAAAAATATTACTAACGGAATAGGAGCGCTCTGCCCCAGCTCGATACATTTATGTTTCCTTAATTTTATGCGTTGTGACTCGACTATTTAATAAAATGACCTTGTTTGTCCTCTTCTCTATAAATGCTTATGGAAAAGTTGCGTTTAATTTATTTAGGCTGGTTTGCATAGCGCCTATTTACAGACACAACCCCGATAAAAACCAGCTTTAATGAGAGTTACGATCATTGCAGTTGCGAGTCGAATAAATAGTTTGCAGCCAGCTCTTCATTCTTATCGCAGGCAAAATAAGCTTCCACTGCCGTTCGCTCGTCAAAACCGAGATCGCACAGCTATAGGATTCGAATCGTACTACTCATGCAGCTTTTAGGTAGAGTGCTCACCCTGTCGATAGCCTCTTTTTCCTCCGGCGTGATAGAGATCGTAGTAGGAGTCCCGCTGGCATCTTCAGTGGCAGGAGCCATCCCGGCGGCGCTTCTAGGCGGTGTATCATTAATGAGACGGAGGAAGTCTTCCTGGTGGCTGTTGATAGTCTGGCAACGGGCTCAGTAATTAAAAAAAAGTTAACAGAAAAAGTAAAAACCCGAAGAAAGTCTGGATTTGTACGCCCTATGGATATCAATAAGGGTTCAAGAATTTGTGGATTTTCTTGAATGTTGTGAATGATTCTTAGAAACTCGGGGTTGCTTAGATGACGAGTATCAGGTTGTAAATCTGAAACAGTAAAGAATATGCAGCGCATATGAATATAAAAATTAAAACTTAAAGTCGGCTGAGCCTGCTTTGTATCTTCATCTTGAAAGCTCTCCATGCAATTTTCCGGAAGTCCCTACACACAAAGAAACTTTAAATAACTTATTTATCATCTTCCAGGGCGTAAAGTAGATGAGAAATATATTATAGGAAACTGACGTTAGTTAAATATTCAACTGCTCTATTGGCATCACCAAAGGCTGCTTTTAAAGCCGGAAAAATCTAGAGGTAGAAGAATGCATGACTATAAAAATAAAAGTGGGTAGGAAAAACAGAAACTTGGTGTTCAGGAAATCCCATTGTCCTGAGTTTCTCAGCAGAATCTTCCAACTCAGCAGTTGTTGAGGTGGGAGCTTCAGGTTCCTTAGAGATAATAACTTCCTCATTACTATCTCCAATATTGCCTGCCGCTTTAGCAGAATTTGATTGGGTTGAGATCTGGATATAGTTAAAAAACGTGAGTTTAACAATTTATTCATGGAAGCTAATTTAGTTGTACGGGGGTCTGTAGCATTATTATTAGCTCTTGATCTTGGATGTTGTAACTTTCAAAGGTGGACTCGGAAGCTAATTGCTTTCCTAAAACAAGATCAGCAAAACCCAAAAAATTATTTCAAAATAAAAATTTATAAGAGAGACCTTTGTAAATAAGTTTAATTAGATAATCTTTCAAACCCCTTTCCTCCATAATCTTTTCTTTAAGACTACTTATCTATAAAAATAAGCCTAAAGTAACTTCTCCGCTTATTAAGAAAATTTAAGAGTATCTTTAATATTTATTGCGGTAAACTATATTATATAGAAGGAAAAAAAGTACCGGATCTGAAGGGGCAACTTCAAACTCCTGCTTCCACTGATGTATATCTTTGACTAAAACTTTCATATTACGCTAAACAGCACTGTAAGGAAAGTAACAGTTAGCACTTAAGGAGCCTCGGAAACAACTCTTCACGAAAGGGAGGACAAAAGCTAACCTTCGAGTGGTTGGTTAATCAGTTAGTTTTTGCTAGCGATTTCTCTTCGTGTCAACTGTTTATTGGTTTGTATTTTTTATTTAGCGTATACATGCATTGTTGTAGGAAGTGAACATGTTCTATTGCGGAAATATAAAGTCAATTCTTCTCTTCTATACTCTAGGCTAAAAGCACTTTTTACTTTTAATTTTATTATTTAGAGTAAGGATTTAAAAACTTCCTCTCGAGGAATCTTGTCCTTAGCTTTAATACACTTTAAATATCTAGTATTTGTTATATGGTTTTTATAAAAGGGATATCAGTATCATATACTGTATTACTAAGCATGCCACCGAAAAATTAGAAACTTTTTAATATCAGGCCATACTTTTCTAATAACTTATATTTTTTTTTTCTTGGGCAAAGATGATAATATAATACTTTTTAAAACATTAAAACTTTTTGAGTATTGCGATGAACAAAAAATCAGCCTTAACAAAACTTCGAAAGGTTTTCCTTTATACTTATTTATTTTAGATGGGCCACCCGGGCCTTACCGCGCAGATGTCTTTCTAGGCCTAGTTTTTAGATGTATTCTGGGGATCTCATGCTCTTAAGAAGTCAAATTGTAGTTTTAACTTTTAATTAAAGCTTTATTGAATGGCAGCCAAATGATACAACACCCAACTGTCTATGAAGAACAAAAAACTTACGTTTTAAGTACTTGAAATTACTATCTTATCTTTTTACACCAGATTATAACTTGAACTTCGCAATATCGCGTATAAATAAGAAAAACTAACAATCAGTATTAATGAAATTGCTTAGTCCCAAGTCATCACCCTATTGATAACGATAAATCGGTGTTTATCGACCTGGTCGAGCGCCAGAGGTAAAAATCAAAGATGTTCGAGTAAAAGCCGACAGTCTAAAAAGCCTGGCTGGTGAGATATACAGGTCGGCGTTTTGGATCTTAAGCTCTCGTGACCGCCTCCCCTGGTAGTAGCCTAAAGCAGCTTATCATCACACCAGACCCTACGGCGGGAGTACGAGCCGAACATTACTCTTAAGACTTCTTAATACTCCCCCGAGAGTAAACAGGTCAAATATGTTAATCCATCATATCAAAATTAAGAGTTGTCCTAGCTCAGCTGACAGTAACATTGAGGCACAAACTCAAGTTCGTGGGTTCGATTCCCACCAACGCGACCTTTCTTTTTCCGTCTTTAGTAGTTGCGTATATAACCTCGCCCTCATAATAAACAATAGAGAGAAGTACTAGTGGTCATTAAGAGTGCTAGTGTATAATATAACAAAATTGGTTTACGTAATTTCGACCGGAAGTGAGTTGTCACCGTTGCTCAGTGGTTAGAGCGTTGTCGAGCAATTTCAAAGTCTCGGTTCGATTCTCGGTGTTCAACTCAAAATTTTCTGGTTTGGTGTTACGTGTACAACAACTTCCCTGTAAGCAAAATCTTAATATAGTCAAAGGAAGCGCGCGCATCGGAAAAATTTCAAGTGCATGAAAAAGCGTTTTTAATGGTTTCTAATTAAGAAATATCTACTTTTATTTGGGACGTTAAGCGTAAAACAATTCAGTAAATCCAATTCTCTTCCCTTTCTATTTCTACAGTGACGTAAGCGCTTTGATTAATTTGAACTAAGCGTACGAAAGACAAGAATTAACACTGGGGGAAAAAATCTGTTGCCCTCAACACACGCTCATTTACTAATTTTTATAATGCTCTTGCCAGTATAAGTGGTAGCTCGGAATGTTGAAGGACCTGTTAACAGGCGATTTACGCCTCGTCAAAATCGCCGGCGACTTACTATTAATGCGGAAACGAGCAAGGTTATTTTTTTATCGGCGAGAAGAACGCTAAACCACCCACCTTCGCAGCTCTCCCTCGTAGACAAATAATTCCTTAATTTTCCCAAGAGAAAAACCGGGGGTCATCAATGACAATAATCTTTCGTGGCCGCCAAACTTAAACTATATCACGGCGGAGCCAAGGCGCCGGTTCAAACTCCTTACCCTTAACTTAATGTGCCTACAGCTCACTGGCAATAGCCTTTAGCTTTAAGTGAGACGAAACAAGCCGCTTTAACAGGCGCGCTGGTTCGTTCGAATCGATACCGTTCCTCAAATCCTCGAATAGAATCCCTGGCTACTATTTTTCCACGCAATGCTAATTACACCTAGGTATGGATTCATGAGCACACCAAAAGATTACTAGCGATGAGCCCTGTTACAAAACATGGGATAGCTCACGCTAGCACCGCCCACGCAACGGATTCTGGGCTAAAATTTAAAGGATGTATACATGTGAGATCGCTATGACACAAACTCGCCCCTACCTATTTGCTATCACCCGGACAAGAGCTCGTAAAATCAGTGTTTTCTTTTTAACCCGATCGAGCACCAGGAATTTTTATTAATAATAATAAAAAAAAGATCTGTTATGTTTATGTTTATGTTCATACTTTATCCTTTATTATTCTTTTTTTCTTATGTCTCTATTTTTAAATTCTCACATGCAAATATCAATTTCGAAGACCTTCGCCGCCTCAAGTGTGACTTGGGCTGTTGCCATGCGGTGGTGGTAGAAATGTGTTATTAAAGCAATAATTGTGCGTAGTTATTAAATGTCATTACCCTTAAAGAGAGAATTTACAGCTCCACTGCTATAAATATGCATAGATCTTTGGGGCTAGACCACATGTTTAGTAAAAGTTCTCTGTTCATTTTATTGTTGTTAAGACAGATTTTATAAAAAATATGGTTTAGTTTAAAGCAGCTTTTATAAGAAAGTTAAAGTTTGTGTCTTTTGCATAAAGTATATCTAAGGTTCGCTTATAAAAGGGTGTATTACTGGATATCTAATCAAATGTTTTAGAAGAGGATCTACAACTCCAGTGCAATGTATAAAAAGAGGCACTCCAGTTCATACTACATTTTGTTGTAATAAAATTTTTACCCGAAATTAATAAAGTTGAAAGCGAGGTGCCTTCACTCTTAACTTTCTCCTCACCTATTGACTTGACGCGATATATTATAAAAAAAAATAAAAGCACTTCAACCACTTTGGCAAAGTTTTAACTTTTTTCGAATGAAAAGTCAGACTTATAGGCGAAGAATATAGGGGTTAAAAATTCAATCACTACAAAAAAATAAAAATCCAAATAATTAAGTTATAAATACTTTCATAGCTGCTACTAATTAGTTATTGAAGTACGTAGGCCTTGAGGAAAACTAGCTCTACATGTAATACTCTTCTCTTAGCTCTTCCTGCAACCTTTTCACACCCTTATCCACGTGCATTTGATTGCCTTCACGTGGCTTTTGCATGTTTAGATGCTAGCTCGAACTAAAGAAGCGACCTGGGCTTATATATTCTCTTTATGATCAAGTGCTATTCCTTCTCTTAGCGCCGTTCTGTTCTATTTTCAGTTTTAATAAAATTATAGATATACTTATACATTATTAAAATATCATAACTTATTTAACATTTAAAAAATTTCATAGAAGTAACAGCCTCTTGGTTCGTTATACCACATTAACCTCGAGTTGTCACCTTCTGCATTAAAGATATATAACGGTCAGATAAAGCATCGACAATTATACATTGGAACGCAGACGGCTCTTAAAAAATTTATTAATAATAATACCAAAGGTATAAAGCTTCTTATATAGAGCCACGAAATTGCTCTTGGAATAGCGACGTTTTAAAGGTCAAAACTTTTGGAGACAACTAATATTAGATTAAGTAGCATACAAATACGTGGGCTCTGAACCGCTTGACAGCATTACAAGTTAGACAATTACAGCGTTTTCACTTCTGCTGGAGGTGCGCGTGCAAGCGTACCTACTAAAAGAATTTGTATAAACTACAACTACTAGGGAACGAGTACAAAGAGATATGCATATATTAAGATTAATTTTATTAATTTCAATTGAGGAATTTAATCATTTGCGTTCTTCAAATTAAAAAACTTAGATCCACTGAGTTATATTTGTGTTAAGTAAAAGATCTGCCTACTAGAGAGAGTTAAACCTCTGGTGTTAGCGCATACTAATTTCAAAATTCCCTTTTTTTTTCCTTCATTTAATTTTTTTATAGGCCTAAAGTTAAATCCTAGTGAACTATGTGAGTGAGATCAGGAAGAACACTTTGCTACTACTGTTTTCCTAATATTAGTCTTCATTAAAGAAGTTTTCCATTTAGTTCTTTGCTTCACGGAAGTTAGCCAAAACTAGAGACATTTTCAAAAAAGGAGTCTCATAAATTAACGCTGTTTCGTATTTTTTTAAAAAAAAGGTTATATAAGTAGGTATATATATAATTTCTACTTAACATATGTTATCGATAAAGTTGTAATCTTACTGAGTATCTGCGTAGTAAACAATCGAAAATTTTGTGTCGTCGGTCACGGTGCGACTTAGCTGCGGTCCCACCTCTATAGGTATAACCTGAAAAGAAAGCATTGCCGTAAGGTATTTTTTCTTATAAAGTATATACAGTTGATTTCAGAAACACTCGGTTTGTTACGTTAAATATAATAAAAAAAATAGCTTCTTGAGAAGCATTTCTTTAAACGACAGCGGTACCGAAGGCGACTATTAAGGAGACGGCAGTTAACCTAAATGTTGCTACTTAATGTAACTATATTAGAAGGGACTGCTCAATTTAAAGATAATCTGAGCCAGAAAGTTACTTGCTCACGTTCTGAAGAGAAAACGGAACAGTGACTGTACTTAAAAATCTACTATTACCCCTTTAAAAGAAAGTTTACTATTTTAATGTAACTATTGTTACCCAAAAAAAAAGCGTATTATCAGAGGACCTTTCATATTTAGGGATTGTTTACTTTTAACCCCGTTGCCAGTTTATAGCTTAAACCAGAAAAGGTCTTACCACTCTAATGAGCAAAATTAAGATGTCCAAAGAAGCCTTCCAATTTTTAGTTACGGCTACGAAGTGCAGTCTAACAGCTTAAAAGATTTTCTGCCTCTTTACCTTGACTAACTCGCTTTCTTTTTGGCCTTACCCAGCTATCTTTCTTCTTTATTTAAAAAGATAAACTTTTAACTTAGGCTCAAGGCTAAGTCATTAGTTATTTAGGCATTCTTGCAGTGCAGTTGACTAAAAATAGGGTAGCTGTCACTTGCGTTCTTTGGAAGGTCTCATAGATAACACGGTCAATGTCTAAACTCATATTTAAAAACCAACAGTTTTTTTTTAAAGCCCTAGTTTGTTAAAAGTCACATATACTTTTTTTCAATAGTTATCTTAATATAATTAATACCTTAGTATACCTCGATTGTTAAAGCAGTCACAAAGTCGTAAACAGTCGAAAGGTTAAAAAGTGCAGCTCAAGGGTCTTTCTAACCAATAAAAAGTAGAGACTAGCCACAAAGTCAAACTAATAATTAACGCTGCGCTATTCATTAGAGTTATACTTTGAAAAAATTTCTCTCTAAATATATATATGAACAACCGCTACTTGCTTTAGCAAGTATTGAATTACAACTTTTATAACTATTGATTATAATTAGATTCAAAATTAAAAGAATGGAAAGCGCGAAGAAACGAGTTTATTAAAGTGATAGAAGCCGATAAAAAAGGTATTAATAACTAAACTTAAAGTTAAAATAGCTATCGTCAAAGTAGTGATATCGTATAAGTCCGTCTTCACCGCCGCTGGCAAAGGAGCGCCCATCGGGGTGGAAGGCCACGGTGTTTACAGGCCCGAAGTGGCCTTTAACACGTCCAATTTCCGATTCATATATCTTGATTTAAAAAAGAAAAGGTGCTAGGTTCCGAATTACCGGTGAGTGTGTAGAGCGAAGTGGGAACCTTGTGGTAGAACCGGCAAACAAACTTTCCCGACCGGGTATCCGTTGTAGTCACCTCGTGGGAGTCCTGACCCCCTCCAAGCAGCACGTGGTCTTCTAAGCTGCTGAGGCTGGCAGAATTTACGGCTTGAGGAGTTTTGTACTCTTTAACCACTTCAAGTAACCAGACATCCAAAAGCTGTAATTGTTTAAAAAATTATTAAAAACAACTTTAACTATGTATAAAAAGACCTTAGCAGTAGTGTCTTTGGACGCTGTAACGATGAAGTCCTCGTCAGTAGATTTTTGAATACTGTTTATTTGGTTCGTGTGTACACAGGAAGATCTAAGCTTCTCACCGGTCTAAGATAATAGTTAGTGTAACAACTCTGATAAGCATCGCCTAAAGTAAAGTATCCCTCAAGAAACATATAATATATACCGCAGCGCGCCACTGGGTGACCTCTCCATTGAGATGGCTTGTGAGGTACAAATCATCATAAGCAACGTAAATCGCAGCAGTAACCTTATTGTTACTATTTAAGGGTTGACTATCAGTTCGAAAAAACTTTATTCCATCTGCAAGTTATAAATAAATATAAAACGAAAAGATGAAGAGCTTGCAACCTTTTAAGGAATTTTCATCTCTAAGATCATACGTTAATATTTCACAAGGCTTTCCCATGGTGGCATCGGTAGTAATAGTAATTATATGTTCTTTAAAAATTTATAACTTTTAGCTAACAGAAAAACAAGACAAAACCAAGAATTTTGAGTACTGTCATTCTTGAAATTAACGGTGCGCACAGGAGTTGAAGCAGTGAGATTATGTATGATTGTCCCTTTTTCTGTGTCCCACACCTTGCAGGTTGTATCACCACTACCAGAAACAGCAAGGGTGGTGTCGGCTAAGGCCGTGGCCAAAAGTATACAGTTGGACTCAGGTAAACAGGGTCAAGTAGTATCACAAACCTGAAATGTCGACGCACCAAACAGAACCACTGTGCCCGTCATAAGAACCAAGTTTTTCACCGTTAGAAGTTCTCCAAACTAATAATTGATAATATATAAACAAAAATAGTCACAAAACTTTAATTTTCTATAATTTTCAAAGTAATAAATATATTGTATAAAAAAGCTCATATTTAAGTTAATAATAACAAATAATTCTAACCATGCCAACTAATATCTTTCCCAGAAGAAAAAAGTAAATCTCCTTCTTTATTGAATTTGAGTTGTGTTAAAGGGCGAGTATGAGAATGTAGTAAAATAGGTTTCTATGATTAATATATAATAATATGTTTAACTTTAAGTAAAGCTTAAATTTAACTGTATATATATATTCATACAACTATACAAGAAGTTTTATATAAAGCTACTTATTATAGATAATTTTAAAACTAATAATACCATATTCAAAATATCTGTAAAGATCAACTCAAGTAAGCTTATATAGACTTGAAAAACGATCCGTTAACATTAAAAGGTTGTAAGCCTGTTTCGGTTGAGAATCAATAACGTCAAACTCAGCCAACAGGCAGATAAAGTTAGCTAAGAGAAGTGCTTAGGGCTTCCCATCACGTGCGTAGATTATTGAAGAAATTTTAAGTATATTTGTGGCAACCCCAATGAGAGTCAACTGAGCCCGGGAAGTCCTCGGAAGACGTGAGGAACTAGACAGATATATATGTTGATCCTATGTATGCGTTTTCTAGCTATTGATTTTTATAAATAAATAATTTTTGATATTAATACTCCTCAACTATGAGGAAATCTGAGAGACTTGGCTGGCAACTGTGCAAGCTGGTCTTCCAGGAAACCTCAGATCTTGTATCCTTGGGTTTTTAGCAGCTTTTCAACGACTTAGACTAAAGGAAGCATGAACCGACTTTACTTTCTTGATTCTGCAGGACAGATATACACCTCTCCTAAGAGATGGAAAGAGATAAATACAGACTAAGAACTTAAAAAAAAACTTAATTTGAGTGATCATAGTGTTGTTGGGAAGAATTGAAAGGACTTATTTTATTTTTAAAATAGTCTATACTTTTGTCATGAGCGCTGCACTAAAAAAAATTCCAATTTAGTTTAATTTAAGACCAAGCTTGCCGCCCTCCTTTTAATATAGTTTTTAAAATTAACGCAGCAAATATCTAAAAAAATAAATTTTAATTAATAATTATAACTTACAACTCTTTTATCAAAAAACCCTCTACCTAGGGTTATCAATACGAAGAGGTCCAATACATTCAAATTAAAAAACTGAACAGGGTTCAATTTTCTCACAGATCTAAACTAATTATTAGTCAGCTAAAAAGTAGTCTTTTTTTTATTATTATAATAGTTAAATAATTATATTTTTATGTTATTAAATTAATATTGCTTACTTGAAAACGACGCCTGTTGAGGGAAGATCCCAGTTCATGTTTTAACGCAAATTTCCATTTTAGGTAATTTTATAATTATTAGTGATTATTTCATTGCTTAGTGGTTAGTATATAATGAAGGTTTACGAAAAATAAACTGGCAGTTGTGTTAATTTTTTAGTGTTTTTTCTGTTTGTCACATCTTTACATCTCTCCCTCTCTCTCTATATATATACATTTGTTTACAATTAATTGTAAAGGGCCTAAAGGTTTAGATACCGGTCAGTAAACCTCTAATAACACCCACAAATTTCTTTAAATATTCTTACATAAAGGTTAAACACAACTGAAAAATTATTAGTTTTCAAGCTTATGTTTTTATTAGGAGCTAAAAGTTATTAATTATCTATAGAGTTTTTTTAAATTTATGACTTAAACTCAGTTTGTGTGTTAGAACTCATCACCCTAATTTTTTCCTCCCCCTTAAAGTGAGATACTCATTATTCAGGTTGGTGGGGAAGCTAACACTAAGGGTAGCACTTCGTTTGATGATTTTCCCTCTCTTTTGGTGTAAATATAGCTTATTTTGAGTCTAGCTTAAGCAGGATGTAAATCTTTTTAAATATGAAGATCTGCCTTTTAAATAAGAAAATTCGGTTTTCTTTCTCTTTAAAAATAATATGAGTTCTTTGTAAAGTAAATTTTTGAGGAATTCTAAATTGGAATAGGTTATGAAATAAAGTAAACAAGGTGATAAGTAGTGTGAATACGGTACCTTACTGATAAGAGCTCTAAGGTCTAGTGTTATAACGCGCGGTGGCCTATTCAATTGACTAACTTGGTTAATTTTTTCCTAAAGTGAAATACTATATTACCTATAGCTGATTTTGTCTAAGCCAGAAAAAAGTTATGCATTTGATGTTTTATATATTTTTGCACGGTTATTTCCGTTTTTCTTAAGACTTTAAAAAGTTTTTAATTCTGTATGATTTTTTTTAGTTAATCGCTATTCTTTTAAGAAAATTAAAAGCTACATTTTGTAAAAATTGTTAATATACCAAAAAGACCTCTAAAGACATTTTTAACCCGTCCCCATCTTAAGTCTAACTAGGAAGAGTCGGAAAGAAAAAGACATGTAGAGACCTTGGTTCTCGAAAGGGCAGACAACATATGGTCAATTAAAATAAAGGAAACCCTCTTTTATCGATATAAACTGAGCTCGCGTTCGTTTGTATTTTGGAAAAAAAAAAGTCTATCCATATAAAACTAAAAAACGGGCGGGTTCAATTTCCTTTATAGGTCCGGCAGAATCGGCGTACACTTCAACCTTTCTAACTCATATGCCGATAAGGGTAAGGCGAACGTACTGGGGCACCCTTTCTACAAGTTTAATCTCTATATAGAGAAGTTGGAAAAGAGGAAGCTGCCGGTCGCTGTCCCTGCCAGCTTTAATAGAATATGTCAGATTATGCACAATATTCAAAGGAACTTTTTGTAATTAATTTAGTAAAAATGATGTTTTTTAGCGCTTTCAATAAAGAACAGAACTTAAGTTGGATTTCCACCACGCCAAAGTGGAGCCCATTTTGGGGGGCAGGAAATTAGTTATAAAGGTTTCGAGTTGCAATCAAGTATATAGATAGCTCAGTTATAGCTCCTTGAACATTTCTTCAGAACATAAAGTACAACCTTATACTAAAACTGGTTTTGGAGATCAGCCATTATTCTTAGAGTTTGTTAGTTTAAATAGTTGTTAATTTCTTTTTTGAAATACTTTTCAATACAATAACCCTTTAAGGCATACCAAAGACCTGAAAAATAAGATCTATTTAGTTTAATAATCAGATAGCGTCGTCTATAATTAGGGCTAATATCAGTAATACAACAAACGGTTCCCCGGAATGTGTAATGGAAATTAAATGTTAATTTTTGTTTAGATGAATTTTATAGCTTATAGAATAAGCAGTAGAACCACTAACTATAAACAATTCTATCTTTTTAATCATAAACTGCAACAAAATGGTTTGAACAGGTTCAAGTAGTTTAAACCGAAGTATTAAACCGAAGTATTACTTTATTTGAAACCTTACCAAAATTTTTTTTATTTAGCGGTGGGTTGTTCGCGGTTTTTAGTTTTCGCTTTGCTTTTATGTTCTGCTACCTTATGACAGCGATTTTTAAGTATACGCTCAATTTTCGCACCATCTTGCTTTCTCTACAATATAGACAGCGGTTCAAAAAAGCCACTCTCCTGACCTTTTTTTAAGAGGGGGCTTCAAAATAGCTGACTTCTAACTTCCTGGTTTTAAGTAAGTAAATTAAAATATTTTTGACTTATTTTAAAAAGGGTTCTTAGAATTATTTGCGGTTTTAGAATATATTAACTCCCCAGTATTACAGCAAGACTTAATTCTTATTGCCCCCTTTAAGTTTTTGATTTACAAGGGCGCAATGAACATTTCCATATGTTAACTTACAAAACATCAACTCATAGAGTAGTTTTCCCTCAACAAGTTGATCTATAAGTAAAAGAAGGTGATATTAGTGTGCTTCGAACGTTATATTAGACTCCGCCTTGAATTATGCTCTTCATAACTTCATTCCTAGTGTAGAATTTACCAAATTTTAAATTAAAATATTTCAAAAAGTAGATTTCAGATCTTCAAAAGGTTTACGAAGGCTTGCCTATAGTTTATATATTCCGCTCCATAGAAGAAGACAGAAATTTTTAATTTTATCAAAGGGTAAATGACTGTTGAATGGGACTGTAATTGATCTAATACATTGACCCATTATGGTTTTAGTCTACCCACGAAGTGTCACAGTAGCATTCAAGGACCATGTATAATTTAAATTTTAAATGGAAATAGAAATTTTTAGTTTTATTCATACTTCCTTCGTCACTTCAGTGTGGGAATATACTTAGCGTCGAAGCAACAGTTAACGATATTTGGCATCGATACGAATGAATTTTAGTATTTGGCAGGTTTCGCAAGAATTTACAACTTAGAAAGGTGCTGACGTTATAGTTTCTGTGAGTTTGCACAGTAGTTTAGGTCTGATTCATAACTAAATTTCTGTTATTATATGTAATGTTATACCAAGTTTTTTTTTAGTTAGATGAAGTCTTATTTTTATTTTGATTTAAGGGTAGTATGTATTTGTTCACATAACTTTTTTTGACTTTGTCATGGTTTTCAGTATATAAAAATACATTCGTGACCTTTACTCTGTTTACCCAATCCTTAGTCGGTAGATACTTGCAGAATCTTTTAAACCATGCAAAGCATCGACTTTCTAAGCACAATTTTTTTTCTTTCAGCAATTTATATTAGATCTCCTTGTAGACTATTTAACTTGTTTATAATAACTTACATGTTTAATTAATTTAAATTTTAAGAACTTTCCTAATATATAGGACAGAAGGTAGTAGTTAATTTGTGTAAAAAGTAAGGCTTTTTTTTTTTCAAGAATCTATATGTAGTTAAAAGTTGTTATTTAACTTAACTAATAGCGTCAAAAGTTTTAATAACTCTTACGTGCATACAGAGCAATTAACAATTTAAATTTTTTTAAGTGATAAAAAGTGTTGTAGAGCTGTCTCGGTAGAAAAGGACCTCACCTTAAAATAACTATTTACCAAGGGGATCAGAATTTTATTAAATTTAACTTTACATTCCATTTAGCAGTCCACTTAGTCTTTTAATGTTATAAATTTAGGCTATAGTCAGGTCTACCACACGAAAAAAAAACCTACATGAGGTTAGAGAACGACTATCGAAGTACGAAAAACATTGCTCCAGTTAATAAGAATTAAACCTAGGACCCAATTCGAGCGCTAATGATAACCAAAGAATTAATTTGGTATATAGTTTTAATAGTTTCTCGGAATGACTGTAATCGCTTATAACAGGAAAACTGATGTAAAGAAAAGAAGCAAGTTTTTTATCAAACAAGTCTAAGGACAAGAGAGGTCGGACGTGCAGTTCGTTCGCATAATAACACATAAATCAAATATATATTGTGCGTCACTAGGGTTCCCACGTGTACCCTTGCTGGACAAAAGTAAAAAATTTAAACATCAAAAGAAATAAAAATTCAAGAAAATTATAGAATGAGAAGAGCTTCAAATTATATATTAGAACGCACACATCTACTTTAAAAAGGTTTAAAAAAATAAGAATATTTTGGATGCCTAGATTTAAGAAGGTTTGGTGGACTACTATTTTTCTAATTTTATATTTCACTAATATAGCTTATAGATTGATTGTATTCAAAGTAATTATCAGATTTATACTTAGGTTAGAGTCATAAGTTAAATACCTCCTAAAGATATGTAACCAAACACTATTTTTCGTTTTAGGAGCCAAAAAAGTGAAAAGACAGTGTTTTACAAAAATGTTGCCCATAAACTAAAAGCCCTCACCATTCTTAGCTTTAGGCCCATTGCAATGTCTATTGACGTCTTTATTAGTTCTACAGTTTGTTTTAATAAAAGAGTATTTAAATTATGGCTTTTAGGTTATTCTTCTGAAAAAACAGCACAGTCGGAGTTCAATTCTGAAGAAAATGAATCTAGTGAAAAATTAAAATATTTTGTTAGCGAGGTGAACGATAACTACAGAAACTTTCAATTACTCCTACACTTTCTTAAGCAGCCAAAGTATTTTGAAACTCAAAGTCTTTTTCATATATCGGACTCTTGCAAAAGATTTTTAGTTGAAAGTTATTACGAAATAAATGGTATTCTTATTTTATTATTCCTTTTAATTTTTTATTACTGTTCTCTTCTTATCTTCAGATAATATTGCTCGTGAAATTATTGGTAAAAAATTATCTGCTAGAACTCTTAGGGAGAGTGAACTTAGTGATAGAACGGGATTGTCAACATACCTTTGCAAGTTACAGTTTGAAAATATAAAAAGAATTTATCGCTTTGTTGAAGATAAGGAAGGCAGTCTTTTTCGAATTATTAAAGAAAATTTTTATTTATCGGATAAACTCTCTCTCTGTTACAGTCGTATTATATTTTTGTGCCGCTATAGGATCTACTGCGGGAAGAAAAGGTTAAGAAAATATAAATTAGAAGACTTTATGGCTTGTGCTGGTTTAATGATGCAGTATTGGTCTCCTCCACGGCAGCTGGCTATTAAAATACTGGACGACAACTTTTTTTTAAAGTTAGCTGAATTAAAATCTATACTTCTTGAGAAAACTGCTTTGGATAATTTAAAAGTTCTTGTCTTAGAGGATCTCAAACTTGAAAACATTTCTCATTTAGGAATCCAAAAAGTTTTTAAACCTTTTGTGCGTATCCTATTTTCGATTGGGGCTGGTTTAGTCTCCAACAGCAGCATAAGATTTTTTTTTATTGATGTAGTTGAAAAATTGGTGGACTTACTTGTGCCGCTGAACTTGCTTCAGAAAGAAATTGAAGTACTTTTTAAGTCTCTTAAGACATGTTTTTTGCGCTTGTCCATATCTTTTGCAGTTGTTCGCAAGTACAAATCCGTATTAATCCGTTTTTTGCTAGTCATGGACCTTTGTGTACAACAATTTCTTTATAGAAAAGGTACTAGCTTCTGTTAAATAAATGGAGCTTAACGACAAGGCATTAGTCCTTATTTATAATTTCAATTTTATAAAGCTACTCATTACTCGTTAGAAAAGATAAACTTCACAAGTTAATCATAAATTCAAAGTTGCCGGGACGTCCAAGTGGTGGTAGAGGTCTCCGCAGCGACCCAGGTGCCCTATTCTCTTCACAGCAAAAGTAATCTTTCGTTGTGCAATAAGCGAAGGATATGTGCGTGTTGTGCGTCCGGCCGATCATGACATAAGCTTCACTGCTCAACGTATCGGCAATAACCTCCTCGCTTCAAGAGCAGTAAAGTAAGTGCGGCGTTCTTTAACAAACGCGACGTGGTTGGTGGGTGATGATACGCTTTACCGCGATCTACAACTTGAGCCGGCTGATCACAGTCAAAAAGTAGGGCCAGCGTTCTTTACGAGTGGTACAAGCTAATCGTCCTCAGTGGAAGTGCCCAACTACAAGTCGTAAGTGGCGCATAATACCACCGTCTCCCAACTGGAAACTGTTAAGGTTTAAATTAAACGTGAATACATGTGAGATGATAATTTTAACTGTACGTGTTGACCGCTAAACCGTTTAAGGCTCGAGTATTTGAAGTTGTTAACTCGAGCTTTGGGAAACGCAATTTATAATAATAAAATAAAGCTTTACAGCTTTAATTATTTAACATCTATCGCGTAGCTCGCCTCGTCTTGCTGGTTAACCTAAAATGTAATATATAGTTTTTGTACTGAACATACTAATATTTTGGTCACTAATTAGATAGTGTCAGTGCACAAGCAAACAAAAAAAATTATGCAAATAATAGTAAAAAGAAGTATATTTTGGGACGATTGCTTTAATTCGATAATCGCATACTTTTGATTAATAATTATGGTTGAAAAAGAGCCAACGACTTCATTAGTACAATAAATAATCTAATATACTTCAATTAGACATAAGAAGAGGGAGTAGGGCGACTACTTTACCATAACACATATTTTGTGTAACCGAAGAAAAAGCGGGGTTAATATGTAGTGCACCTTTTCATTCCGCCGCCAAAAAATTAATAAATACGTTATTAAAGAAAGGCCATAAGATTCTATAGAATAGTTTTTCTAAATTCAATGCTCAACAAGTAATTTCGAAAGATCAAATAATCAAACATTCAAACTTAGTTAATATATCTATACATAATACCAAATAAACTTCGATAAAATTAAGTCCATATATAACGTGTATTATAAGATTTATTAATATAACTGAACTATTAATAACCTATAACAACCAAAGCAAAATAACTAAAGCAAAACAGAAAAGCTCAAAAATATTTGCAGAAAACGGGTATTTACATGGCGTACTTTCTAGTCCATTCTCTTGCTGTACTTTCGTATCTTTTACGATCGGTTTTATATATATTAGCAATTTCAGGAACAAGGGGATCGTCCGGATTAGCATCGTCAAACAAAGAACAAATGGACAACAAAACTTTTGAAATTGTTAACGCTGGCGACCATTGATCCTTAAGAATATCCAAACAGATGCTTCCATTCTGGTTAATATTTGGGTGATATACTTTAGTAACAAAGGTGACTTTGGGAGGTTTAAATGGATAGTCTGTAGGAAAGTGAATGTTTAAAAAAAAGGCACCCCCTTCAAAAGGGGAATTTTTTGGCCCCTAAATAAATTAATAAAGAGTAAAAGATGCAAAAAGTAAAAATATAGGTACCATAATTGTGGCACTCCAGTGAAAAGGATCGTCCCCCAGAATCCCCGCGCTGCAATTAGCAGGAGGATCACGAACTATATCATTTAGCTCCTTTTGAATACGTTTTAAAGCCATGCCTAAATATTGTCTTGATTAACAAAACAAAATATAGATAAAAAAATAATTAAGTCATAAGTTGAGCCCAAGGATCTATATTGAAAAAATCATTAGTAAGAAAACATAGATAATAATTTTTTCTAATAAAAACTATTAAAAAAAAATCTATATTAACAAAAAAATATTACAAGTCTTAAAAATTATACAGAGAATTTATAAATAAAAGTTCATAATTAGTATAAGTTAAAATACTGAATATCTCTATTACTCGATGTTGTTAAAATAAGCGAAACTATCGCTACCAAATATTTATTGCCCAGTGAATGAGTTCTTAGAAGTAACTGAGAGTCTTTCCGCCCCTTAAGTCCAAGGTCTTAAATGCACTCTCTCCTTGCGTTCACGGCATGCTTGTGCCTCCGGCGAAATCAACTCGTTTTGATGCAATACGCGAATCAAATGGTTATATCGATTTATATGCTAAAAATACTAAAAAAGCGTTAACGCATTGGGTATAGGGGAGAAAAAAAAACCAGGTATAATTTTAGAATTTAAAATTTATATCCTTTTATTCAACACATCTAAATTCTCAAAATTATAAATTTAGAATGACCTCGAAACTTTGCGTAATTTTTACAAAGCAGGAACAGTCACATCTCTTTCCTTTTTTAAAGGACTAACGGACTTCGGCCTCTCCCCCTCTATTCTTGTCTTTTACCATAACTCTAGCAAAAATATATACCTTTAGTTATTAAATTATTTTTCGGCAAACGAAACTAATACCTTTTTAAGTGAGTTATATAGAAATCAGTTAATATTTTAGTAGTTACGCAGTGCAGTTGCAACTATTAAAAAACGGCAGAATCCCTAACTTTTTAATTCTTTATATATTTATAAGGGGGCGCTTGAGTCTCGGGAAAATATCAAATAAAACATAAGGCGTTTGGTCGCTTAAATAAGTGCTTTTCTGCCCCATAAAAAGCTTGGGAAACCACAAATCTTCAAGTTTAAGTCCCACCGCTTATAGGGAATTAGTTTGTTAGCTTAATTGGAGAAGTATATAAGGAATTGATTTAAAATTTGACTTGATTCGATTTAAAATTAAAGTGTGTAAAAGCAAATATACCATTCTTTAAAGAAAGTGGGTATGAAAGGGCTCGATTACCTTAACAAATGATTTCAATTACCTTTGAATAGTGAGAAAAATAACAAAGGATAAACGTAAATAGTCACGGGTCAATACTTTTCAGAAAGTAAAAGTTCAAATCCTCATTTTAAGGTAGATGGCTAACTATATTTGGTGCTCCCTTGAATTGTAGCCCAGAGTTTCGATCAATATAATACCTTATACAACGTAGATAAAACTAAAATATAACTCTCTTTTAAGAATTTGCAATTTTTAAGTAGGTGGTTTGTCTATTCAACATGGCTCTTGGAAAGCCCTCAGGTGTATTGCAAACGCTCCGATTACAACTCTACACCGGGAAAATTTTTCAGTGCGGCCCATCACCAAAAGAGTAGGTGTGAAAAACTTTACCGTCCATCTAACAATTCGTCAGTTTTAAGAACGCGGAAATTTTGAAGACCTCAAACGCCTGGTCCATTTCGGATCACCTCGGCAGCCGACACCAAAGGTTCAAACTAATATGTAAGCGTAATAGACGTCTAACAGCCCTTGAAATTAACCAGATTTTAATTGGGACATCAATGCAATGTTTTTGTCATTACCGTAAAAGGTGCTTACGTGAAGCCAATTTACACGGTCGGTGTGCTAACGAAAGCCATTATTTCGACGAGGAAACAAAACAAAACGTCTCAGAGGGTTAGAACGCAAAAATTGGACACTGGAGGACTGGAAAAGCGTGTTGTGGAATGACGAGTTCAAATACAAAGTCTCCGGACAAGAACGTAAAATTTTTAACCATGGAAGAAGGTCTAAAAATGTTACCGGCTGTGTTAGGCCCAACAGTGAAGGAGGTGGCCCCGTCTTATAGTTGTTTCTCTTTTGCCGGCGTCAGATATTTTGGTCAAAATTGCTGGGATTATGAGCAAAAAAAATTATCTCCAAATCTTGGAAACCAATGTGGTGCCATCGAGAGTGCGATTATCGGTAATTTACCTTTACGCAGGACAGTGATCCTAAACACACCGTTTGGGCATGCAAAACTTACCTGGCCAGCAAAGAAGAAAAAGACATCACCAAACATGCGTAGCTCCCTAAGTCAGAACTTGAATCAAATTAAAAAATTATAGGGTGAACTCGTTAGGAAAGTCAGGAACTGTATGATATCAAAGGAAAACCTGTGGAGGACCCTTTCAAAGAGGTTGGAACAACATGCAGCAGGAAACAATATGGTGGCAAGGGTGCCGAGAATAGCGCGTGCCGTGATTGCATCCAGGGGAGAATTTTTTTCAAAGACCAAAAGTTAATTCTTTTTTGCATTTGTATATTGACTTGTAAATAAGATTTTGTGGTAATAAGTTTTTCTGTTATTAGAAAATTTGTTACAAGTAATATTTTATGTGGTCTGGTTAAATTGCACCAATTATTATAGCGTTTATCAAGTTTTACTGTTGGTCATTTTTCAGTGGGCGATAGTGTATACTTGATTTTTCCAGTTCTAGCCCTTGTTAAAACTTTATACCTTAATAAGTCTTTTTTTGGCGTGGTGGGAAGACTCTCTGATTAAAAGTCTAGTTACTCTGATACGCCTCTGCCGCCCCCAAGAAAATTTTATTTGTTACTAAATTTGAAAGAAAGCTAAATATTATAAATGGTTTGTAGTCATGAATTTAAAGTAAAAATGGAAATTATATAGTAGGGCAAAAGAGTGTGTTAGAACTTAATACCTTAATAAAAGATATACTTTTTAGCGTGGTGAAAAGTCACTAAGTTACATGCTTTTATTAACCACAGGTATGCTCGGTGTCGCCAAAACTAATGAGGATATTGTTCGGGCGATTAGGGAGAAAGGTGGGCGCATTCTAATGTACGATTAGCTTCTGCAAAAGCTTTTGCACAATTCGGCCATGCTATTTGGCTATAAAAACGTAACTTTGGTAAAGGGCCTTTCTTTAGGATATAGACTTAGCAGTTCTAATTGCAAACTATATTTGACCTCTAACGAAGATTTGTTTAATGATAGAAATATATTTCGCGTCATCATAAGAAAACAAATTTATAAAACTAAACAGGGGAGGTCCTGTTACCTTCTTCTAGCTTTAGTATCCTCAAATCAAACGTATTTACAACGTTATAAAAACTTAATAATTTTAGCATATTATATGCAGTGTTAAATTACAAAGTCTTCTCGCTTTTTAGGGACTTAAATTTAGGAAAAACATTTATATAATTTAATACATCCACGTTTACAGAAAACTTTGCTTGCGGAGATCTTTTCAATACTTCCGAATAAAATCCGCTTCTGCGGTACTTACGTTAGGTGCGCAGTCGAAAAATTGTCCGGACTGTCCAAGCAAGAGATGCGTTAACCGTAGGATGCACGCATACTTAATAAAGGAGTTTATTGAATAGGGACATAGTGCTTTTTGCAAACAACAGCGGGTAAAGTGCCCGGGTTGCAGCTTTCACTACGACCGCAACAAATTCTACGTGATGCTGCCCATCCAGTCGATTATCGATGATGACTCCCAAGTACTTGGCCTAGGAAGTCCCATGAAATTTTATCGCATTCCCGTGCCGAAGGCGCGTATATTATAGTACATCTGCTTGAGATGAGATTTGCTCTATTTTCTTGCCGTTTATGATTACTCCCCACTGCCGGCACCTGTTGGTAAATGTTTTTAGGTAGCGTTAAAAGGGGTCAGGGCATGAATGCTTACCTGAGATTTTTTTGAGGGAGTGTAATACCTGTTCATTACGCCGAGAAACAACAAAGGATATCAGTTTTAGACTCTAATTATTAAGGTTAGGTAAGTGGAAAACCGCTTAAAAATCCCTGCTGTAATATACACAAGGCGTCTTCTACTATCAGTCTTAACAGAAAAAAAGGGACAAATTATATTAATTGATTGCATCACATTTATGTGATTACTATCCATTGCAAAAAAAATATATTAGGTCCTATTTATAGCGTTATAGTTTCAAGGAAACATAACGAAGAAGACAAACTTAATTAATCGCCTGTGAAGCTAATGCTATGGGTGGTACCAACTGATTTTTTTTGTTGCTTACTGATGACGTGCCTGCACCGGTCGTATGCGACACAATAATTGCTATTTCTGCATTATTCACAGATATAGTGTAGATATTTTTTTTTAGTCTGTTTAGATAATTTTTTCTTAAGCTGCTCTATTTTGTTGCTTTCGACCTATAGACCATAACAAAAAAACATTAACTCTACGACCCTTGCAGGTCTGGAGACTGAGGTATTCGAAACTATGGAAAGAAAACAAAGACAAGTGCACAACACGAAAACGCGAATATTTAGTTAGTAATATATATATATTTATGTACAAAAGTAGCAATGTTCGGGAATGATCATGGGGCCTTTGTGTTAGACATAATTATATTTTGAGTTGGCATTTTTTTAAAAATATTGTATTCCTAACATGCGCCAAGAATGGTCATTACAGAGTGCTGACCAGTGGACCGTCTCGACAATAGAGGACCCTCCACCTTTCAATTAATTTAATTGCTTCGTAGTTTGGGCACGCCTTATTTGAAAGTTCTGCTTTCAAATTTTAGCTTGGTTACTTTATCGCCCTCTGTTAACCTTGTGTTTTTTTCTAACTAATCCTTCTTTCTATTCTCAATTTTGCATTATTCTTGGGCGTTTGTAGTCAAAATTTTATCATACCTTAGCGTTTTATCCCTTTATTTAACTAATACGAACAATTGAACCCATTTATTTAATTAATGATCCTCACCGCAGTTCTGTAGTGCTATCTTATGTTCTTTCTAGAAAATTAGAAAAATCCCACGGAATTCCTTCAGTTAAGTTCAGTAAAAGTAATTTGAAATAATATATTTGCTCATGATACCTAAAGAGCATGAAAGTGCTGAAAACTATTTCTTGATTATATTCCGCCGCTTGCAAACCCTCACTTCTATTGGCCCTATTATTCCAGCACCGTTTTTGTCTTTCATTTTATGTTTCTTCAGGTCGGTGTAGCTACCAAAATTTTCATTTAAACTAACAGTTCTATAACCCGCAGTCCACTAAAAAAAATTTATAAAACTGGGATGCGTTTTCTATTTTTTTTTTATCTTGCTTTTGCAGTTATATTCTGGGCACACGGTACCACGGTATATTACTTTACTATCGACGCTAACGAACGCCGTTGCTTCTACGAAAATTTTAAAAAAGACAACACTATAGTTCTTGTTTACCAGGTTGTCGAAGGTGGCTTTTTAGACATTAATGTCAAGGTCTAGTCTGTATAGCTCTCGCTATTGTACCTTATTATTATGAACTATATATATACCGAAATTCTACTAACCATATTTAATGTTAAAAATTAAACAGTCTTAGTATACGTTTATCAAAATTATTTATTTACTTTAGTTAAATTCAGCAAAAGGAGACCTGCTCTATGAATCAGGAAAAAAAGCTGAAGATAGCGCCATATTTGCCGTGAACGAAAATGTTATTTACCACTTTTTTCTTATTGACTCAATATAAGTTTATTAAAAAAACAGGGAGAATATCAACTTTGCTTTGACAATAAAATGTCTACAGTAACTTCCAAAAGAGTTTTGTTTCAGTTTGTTTCTGGTGAACAAAATATAAAGGACGTAGATAATAAAGGTTGTATACTGCATTGATCCTCAAAGCCTCCTACATGTTCACATTTTTGCAACGTTAGATAACACCCTGAGTAAAATGCTCGAACAGCTTGGCGATAAACTACGAGAAGTATGGAACAACAACGCCTTTTTAGCGTCGAGGGGAGAAGCACACGATAATAGTACTTTAATTAATTAATTTTATTTTTAAGAAGCCCTTTATTCGTTTATAAAGTCAATCAAAGGACACATGATAGAATACTTTATTGGAGTGTGATCGAAATCTTCTTGGTATTTGCCATGTCCCTTTCTCAAGTGTTCTACTTAAAGCGTTTATTTGAGCGAAGAAGAATAGTGTAATTATTACTTACTTAAAATTTTTAAATAAAATTTGTAGACGGCCTAAATAAATTAAGTGTTACGCTAAATGGGGTCAAGTTGTTATATGATCTGCCTTTGAATTTAAGAGGCAAATAGACCGTAGTTTATCTAAAATAAGCGGAATATAACTAAATAACCTTCGTAAGAGAGCGTTAAAAGTATTAATAACTAGTCTTTCTACTCTAATTTTTAAATATTTTGATCCAATAACCTAAAAGGAATCGCTAAGCGTAATGAAAAGTAAAAGTAGCTTGAAGCACAATAAATATTTAATTAAAATTTTTTTAAGAACAAAAGTTTAACGGCGTAGTGTGTTTTTAGAACAGAGCATTCTTAAGAAATTGAGGAAGCGCAAAAGCAGCGGTGTGAACTTCTTGATTGTAATACTTCAGATTCATCTCTTCCAGCTACTCATTGTAAAAATTGTAACAGAATTGGTTACAATAAACAATGAATTTAGCAAGTTAATTACAATTTTAAGGGTGCCTGTTTTAGGCGCTTTGAAGTTTATAGAGGCATCCTTAGAGCAAAGTATGAAGCCGATCTGGCCTAAAAAAGTATAAGAATTAAACAAAATAACATAATTTTAAAATAAAATACCAGACGGATAAGTAGGAACGGAAGTATAGGCGTATGCCACAGAGGGAAAAATCTGTTTACAAAAACTGTTCATGCTTTTAATAAGATTCAAATGCAACCAAGCACACTCTCCTAGTTGTTTAATACATATATAACATTATATATTTAAACTATGTTCGGTATATAAAAAAGTGCCCTGGGAGATGGTAATGCCGTTACTCCGTAGTGCACTGTGCATAAGCCTGTAATATTCTTCTTTAAATAAAGTAACCGCGGGGCCTTCACCGCCAAGTTTAAAAAGTGAAAAAAGTAGTTACACTATAATAAACCAAAAGGATCGGAAGAGTCGGTGATAATAACGTCAAATTCATTCTGGTGTTGCTCCATAAATTTCAAACCATCTCCAATATGAATATGACATTTTGGGTGGTCAAGACTTGAAGATGAAAAAGGCAAATGCTGCTTACAAAGCTCGACAACCTAAAAAAGCTTAAAAAAAAACTGAAAAGTTATAAAATCCACTACCTTTCTATCAATTTCGCAAAGTGTCACGGATTCTACGTATTGGTGTTTAAGTACTTCACGAACAACACAGCCGTCTCCTCCACCAATTACAAGTACCTACCGTTGAGAAAATAAGTTTGTTCGTCAACCTTTAATTAAAGTAGTTAATTGTAAAAAACCCCCAAATCAATAATAAATCCAACAAGACAGTTTACTTAGCAATAGAAGTGTTGTAACTATACAGTATTAATCCTAAATATTAAAAAACTTTTTTGGGTTCAGGGTGGCAAAAAAGGGCTAAGTGAGTAATCATTTCTTGATAGGAGAACTCATCCCTCTCAGTACATTGCAATATACCATCTAAAGCTAGGCAAGTTCCGTACGTTTTGCTTTTAAAAATAAAAATGTGCTGATAATTTGATTTTAAATCAACAAGAATTTCTTCAACTTCGAGAGAAAAAGCTTGACCGGGCCATAAAGAGCTCAGTTCAGTAAACCAACCCACTTTGTGTGCATTCATCAAAAAAAATCACTTTCAGAAGTTTTCGGAGGGAACACCTAAATTCGTGCGGCTAATATTATATTGTCCTGATCGAGTTCCTCATGTAACGACTAATACATACTGTAGTACAGCCCCAAGATCATTGAAACTATTCCAGTTGGCTTAAAAGAACCCCTTTTTTTACTTGCGATACAATTTTATTTTTCTTTGTTTATTACCACATTTCAGTCTAATAAATCCATTATGTGAGCTTATAATATTTTGAAATAAAGAAATAATAGTAAGGTAACAAATGATTTTAAGAACCCTCTTCCAGTCTTATCACTGCAGGTTTGAGAAGAACTGTATAAATGCCTTACGTAAGCCTGAAAATTCTGATTACCCATTAGATAAAGGCTTTAATTATAAGCGTGGCATAAATTTACTAAATAATGTACGGCAGTTGTTTTATTTAATTTTTATAATTGGTTGATGGTTTAGTTTACTTTAAGTTTGTATCGCTAAATTGAAGCAAGCTATCCTTGAAACGTTTTTATTATGAGGTCAACTTTTGATAGTAGCAAAAACTTAGTAAAGAAAAACAGGAAGAAGCTATACACACCCAAAGTTATTCCCTTGGTATACGGCGATGATAATAAAGCTTCGTCCTTGATTATTGAGAATTTGGACTATCTCTCCTTAACTTTGTTAAATGATGAGTTCAATTTCTCAAACAAGCTAAAAAAAGGTTTTAATAACTTCTTTAAACACTTCTAACTTCCTTCCCTTTGTTCAATAGCAAATAGTAGAAGTATATCAAATTTTAAAGGGAAGACGCTATCTACTTTGTTGTTTTTATCGAAAAAAATTCCGATGAGTTTATTTGACTCTACTTTTCCTCGTTTTGTACTGCGCCATCATCTTTATTTTTGGCATAATAACAGGACTTTTGTAGATCAAGAATTGGTAAATAACTTTTAGCTTACTAGTTTAATATTATTAATTAAGCTTATTATTAAATGCTGTTAACGTATTTTTACTATAATAGAATAAGCTCTTGCATAAGGGCTCCATTATTATATTTAACTTGACTACAGGAGTTGAGGATTATGCAGTATCCATTAAAACTGAATTTATCAAGTACATCAAAAAAGAAATTATGCCCAGAGCACATAGTTCTAACATAGCCTTGATACGTATTTTTCTCGGGAACTCAACCCTTTATTTTTAACTCTCTTTTATAATTTTAGAAAAATATATAGAATCCATTCTTAGCTTAAATTCTCCCAACATCTCGTCAGAATTTCTCTGCTCATCTGGCTTTACTGAATCGGATATAACGTTTTTATTTAATTTAATTACTAAATAATTTAGCAATTTTAACGCAGGAGGATGATGTTAAAATCTTTTCATTTTTTTCACACTAATAGAGAGCTTGTTCATCTTGGCCTCCTTGTATTTCATAACATAAATACATACTGGCTCGGGATTCCAGGTTTTTAAGTAAAACTTTTTATTTCTACTCGCTTTTACTATTTTTAAGGTGTCGGCCCTTTTATAAAAGATCTTCAAGAAGGTAGGCGTCAAATTCTAAACTTCTTAAAGAGAAGTGCGGGAAAAGAACTTCTTGCTAACGTCAATTTCCATTCTAAATAAATTTTGATTTTAATTTTTTTAATTACGTGATATTTGCTCAACTGTAGGATATACTGAAAAAGAAACTGCGAAAAACGAGATTGCCTCTTTCCTTTCTTCTTGAAGAATTGTGCGGTACTGAACTCGTCAATTGGTGGAATTTTTTAATAGTTAAACTTTTTTTGGTCTAAATTATTTTTAGTATGAGGGTGTCCCAAGGGCTGTTGATAAGAATACCTCGGTCAGATTAAATTTCGTTTAAATTTGCTGGATTTACGATGTTTTAATTTAGTTAATAAACTAATTTATGATATTAAACAGAAATTAACAAAACTTTACGTTTCACCACTGAAATCTTTTTAAATTTTACCTAAACTTTTTAATAACTGTCTTTAAATTAGTTTTGACAAAAAAAAGTTATATTCAAGTTTTCACTATAAGCCAATATATTATATAATAAATTTATTGACTCCAAGGTGTAGTAATAGTAATAGCAGTAACAATTTTAGTATTAATATTTGTAATAAAAACTAATGATAACGGTTTCAACTCTATTAGAGAAATTATTAGTAATGCTTTTAAAAACTATTTATAATAATAGCAACAATTATTAAATGAGCAAAGACTCAAATATTCCACTAGAGACCACGCGCACACAGTTCAACAGTATTTGCGTGGTGTCAAGTAAAAATAGTAAGCGCCTTGCGAAACTAAATCCCCGATAGTAACGAATCCTAGTATTAGCACTTGCAAAACTAAATTAACTTTTTCCTACTTCTCACCAGCCTCGAAATAAAAAGATCCACTCATTATTTTATATAAAATAAAAACTTTGCTCCAATTTGTTAAACTTAAAACGACTTCGAGCTTTTGAGACCAAGGATAGGTGTCAAGGAATTAAGATTACAAAGACAGCAAATGGCTATACATCTGCCTTTCGGTTATGCATGATAAGGCGCATTCATCTTAATAGTTAATTATCAGAAGAAAAGAAGGCCCATCATTACCTGATTCTAATATACTCCATAAGATCTCGTACGCCTCTAGCTTGGGCACACGAAGACAGCCCTCAGTTACGCCTCCACAACAGCGGCAATTACTACTGCATCGACAATAAAGTTGTCATCATTTAAATAGTCAAAAACCTAAAATCCGCTTGCAAGGGTTTTTAGGACACGGACACCCCGCCAAATCCGGCCTCTTTTTTAGAATTTCCACGCAGGGAGCAAGAGCTACAGGAGCCGATGCAGCGCGAAAACTTGCAGTCTTATTTGATTTCTACCACTTCTCGCCGTACAACAAGAGCTCGATAGGGGCGTTGAGTCATTCTGGTCTTGCGATATTTTTGCTAGCCCACCAAAGCATTTGGTCTTCCTTAGCTTGCTCAATTAGGTGGACGTTTCGGTGACCTAAGCTTGTAATTACTCTAGCAAGCCATTAAAAACTTCAGATTAAGTCGTCCTTATAAACGGTTCCTTAACTGCAACAGCTGTATCGAAAACTTAAATTGCTGAATCTTGGAAAGAAAGCCAACGTTGATAGCAGGGATTGATCTTTTAAACCGCCTCGTTAATTAGATGATGATACTCGGTTTCTACCCGTTGCGATTGAAGACAACTACTGTTTTAATGCTTCCGAAAGAGCGCGAGTAGCCTCTACGCAAAATTATATAGGGCCCCTTGTTAGCAGTGAAGAAAGTAGCTGAGACTACCATACTGACTCTTACAAACATTTAAGCGGGTTTAACACAAGAGCTTTGTACAATAACTTTCCTTCCTGTACTTTGTAAAGAGCACAAGGCTTGCAACACGTACGGTCAACGTACGCTTGTTTTCAAAAACACTAACGGAGGCTGACCTATAAAACTATTTCTACTCCCATTGCCTTTTGCACTTATAGTCGCGAGGTGACACAGTCCGGCAACCTTTACACTCGGCTCGCTTTCTACGCAATGATACAGCGATTTACTCTTCCTTCAAGTCACTTACCGTTATTGCGCCAGCGTTTGCACTGCTTTTTCAGTCACGCTCGCCAACTGGTAACGTCAGGGGATTTGTCCTTCAACCTTAGAAGTCAAGAAAAATTCGTGGTGTTTCCAGGTATATGTTTGTGCCTACTTATTACCCTGGTGAAACATAGCAAGCTGCTACGCGTCATACAAGCATTTTTAAATGTACCCAGTGAGTGGCTTCAGAAGGGTTGGCCCATGGAGGGACTAGCCTTAGCACGCCTAAGGGGACCATAACTTAACATAATTGATATTATATTTTTTCAGCAAGGGCTTCTACATTTTTAAATCAGTTATCAAAGTAAACAAATATAAAAATTTTAAAAAAAACTCTATTCTATATTAGGGTACTAGACTACAATCACAAAGTACAATTTGGAGCTAGCATTAAATAACCCGGATATATCATATTGTACCGAATTTTCCCCAACTGCGTTTGTAACTCTTACACTTTTCTATAACAGTATATTGTCGCTGGAGTACGTAACTGACATTCACAAACTTTTTTAAGTCATAATATGTTATACCTAGAAACTTTTCTATATAGACAGGAAATGAAGTTATATGCAACCTAAAACTTTACTCTTTATAGTGCTAGTATGAGCATCAACTTAAATATATTCAAGGTTTTCTGTAAGCAAATTACACTTAAAAAATTTGCAGAACTTAAACTTATTTTCTTATAAAATCTATAATATCCACAACAAAAACTACCCGTTATTAGGGCGCAAAAAAATTTACTAGTAGCTCCACGCGAAGATTTAACCCCTTATCCATTAGCTTTGCGCACTTCGTGCATCTTTTTGCTAGGTACTTGCTCTCTTTTCTGTCCCAAAGTAGAGTTTGATGTGTATATATAAGACACACAATTTTAGCTTGCAATTTTTAAAGGACTTAGCATTTAGTAAACAACAGAGATAATAGCTGAAGTGTAATCTTAAGTTGTTTTCTATAAGTAAAGCCTAGGACTATGTAAAATCTTTTTTTCCCTCTGATAAGGCTGTTATAGTAAGCAAGCCTTAAACAAATAATGATTAATCTTGATATTATTCTTGTTTGCCCATATTTCAAAGTAACTATGGTGGAAGCAAACTCGTAGATATAATTATAGAAAAGAAGTGAAATAAATCCTGTTTACCTTACTTATCCGTATTTTGACAGTGTGTATAAGAGCAACTTAAAACTATTTTATTATGCTTATGTATGTGGTGTTAGATAAATAATTTGACTGCACCTTTCTATTTCGCTTTATACAAGTCATGTTTCTTATTTTACTCTTACCAATTGAAAAATCTTTGTTTAGCTACGTGCGGAGTGCCTGCCCTATAGCCGTGATGCTAGATCTGCCAACTTTCCAAGATCTTGCCACAAGTAAGTTAGAATCTTGCTTACAATCTACCGGATCCATGGCTAAAGTTATTGAGTTTTATTTTATTACCACTAGTTTTTATTATAAAGTATAAATTTACTGTAAGTGCCTTGTACTAGATGCACAATTGGGAGTATTACCTTTAATTTGTAAGTTCTCTACGTTAAAGGTTTAGCTCTCACTTTATATTTTATAAAGTTATTAGATTAACTTAATTTTGTTATTTAATAGAAGTATAAAGTGGAACAAAAGTGTTTTTTAGGGGAAAGTTTAAAAACTCAACTTTCAGTTCTTGTTTACTTTGTAAAACCGGCTCCCATGTCCCTTAATTTTTTTCACCGTAATGTTAAGTAATTCTTTAAATATATGAATCCCATTTCCTCTTGGTAGTCTTGTACTTCGATTTAGAGTGCATCAGCACAAGCGAATCAGTGTCTTTTTTGTACCAAGAAAAACATTATTTTGTGAAGAGTACCTCAAAAATGCCGGTGTCTACGGAAATCTATATATTTCAGAATGCGACGTGGTTTGTTATACAACTTTTTAAAAGAATTTAAATTTTTTATATTTCTTATATAAATATTTATACTTTTATTAATAAAATTTTTAAATACAATTTTCTTTATATATCTTCTACGCAAAAGGACTTTTTCCCTCTAAACAGGGAAGTCCTCTCCTTGGAAAGTCGGCATGCTTTTCGAGAGTGCGTGGTAGAGGGGGATTCGACCGTTTTGTATAACGTGTAGTCACTATTCTACCTTTGTTTATTTCATTTTTAATTATCAAGTTATCTTTTTGTACCTGACGTGTAATTATTGTTCTACCTTAGTTTACTTTTTTTATAATAATTATAAAATATTTAAGTGCGCGATTCATTATGAAACTGCAATCAACTTATGGGCTTATCTCCCACATCTGTGGTAATTGCGATTCCTCCTTGAGCCAAGTGTTTATTATAATGGATCTTAAAGGAGCGGGCTTACAGGCAAAACAAGTCGCTGACGTTCTTTCGTGCTTGCAAAAGGAAAGTTACGTTTTCTCGGTAAGCTTTGCTTATATATATATATTACTTATTATTTATAAAACTCGTAATTCTTACATCTATGAAAGGATATTATTATCAAGGAAGACGAGAAAATTTCTGAAGAACTCGATACGATTGTTCTTTTAGATCGTTGTGCAGATTTGGTGCTGAATCCATCTCCGGCGTTTCTTTTTTTTTTTTTTTTTTTTTACATAAGTTCGTGAAAGCTCAACCGTTATAGGTTACGCCGCTTTGTACGCAGCTGACCTACGAGGGCCTGCTTTCGGAAGTTTTCCAAGTGGAGGGAGGTTGCTGTAGACGTTGCCTAGCAACGAAGTTAGCTCGTATGGAATTGTTCTACAGAGAAGATCTTACTTCCCGTGGACATCCTGCCTACCGACTTAGTCGCGCGTCTTCCTGCAAATCAGCTCCACTATGAGGTTAGCGCGGTAATTCTCACAACATTTTTTATTAGTGACTCACGCTTCAATTTAGTTTTTATTAGATTTTAACGATCCCGTTTATAACGAGGTTCGTTTCATAGTCATCTTTTTAATTTAGAGGCCTTAATATTTTAAAATAAGATTCGAGACTCTTCCTTTCCAGAGGTGGGGCCGCGGATCCGCTCGCGGGCGAAGGCTATGGAAGCGGCATACCAGGTGGCCTTATAAAGAGTTGCAATCAACAGCACTCGCCTTTTAATGCAGGCAATCCAGAAGAGACACACGGCTAACACGGTAGACGAGGTTAGAGAGTTCGTAAAGCAACTGAAGGAAGTACAGGAGGAACACAGATCACTTTCCATCCGTTGTTATTTTTTAATACAAAAATTAAACTTGAAACGTTGAGCTCCTCGCCTCATAATAGACACCAGCATTGCTGAAAAAATAATATGCTCGACGGCGGACCCTTGTTTTTCGGAAGCCCTTCGCATCGAGAAACGTAAAAAGGGTGTCTGCTTTTGCTCACCCGATCTACAGCTACATTGCGCTGTTTTCACAGTGTTTATCGACGCGGAGGGAACCGACAAGTTTAACGAGTCCCTTGAGACGCTAATATGCCGATGTGAGCCTTTTCTGAAAGTTTTGCGCTTGATATGTCTGCAATCGGGTCGACCTTTAGTCCTTACTTCACCAGCTACTGTTACCTCAGCGCCTTTTGATGATAGTAATCAACGGCGGCTTGCGACAGAAGATTCTAGAACAGTACATGAGCGAGCTGGTGCAGACTTACGGCTCTCAGCACCTCCAGACTCTCTACAACTTGCAGAAAGCAGGTCTCCCTATTCCTGAGTGTTTGGCGTCCCAGTAACGAACGGAGGACAGGCTTGCTGTCCCTCAAGGCGGAGCGCAGTTATTACAGTTCTGTTAAAAAAAGGCTTAAGCTGGTTGTACCGGGGTCCAACGAAGTCTCCTTATTTTCCTTTGTCCGCTCTGCGTCTTTATAGTTTAACAAAGTGTTCCTTCACTCCAGAAAAGCCGCGAGGATATCAGCTATGTCTACGGCGGCTACGCTCCACTCTCCGTAAGACTAGTGGAATGGCTCCAGCACACGGGAGCGAAGAGTCCAGACGCCGCCTTAGCGAGCTTCGCAGGACCTTTTTTTCATGTGGATCAAAGACCTAAAGGAGCCCGCCAGCAGAGTTGACCTTTTTTTGCTTTCTTACGCCTAAGTTTTCAATTTCGTTTAAGCCTCCTTGAGTCTAGGTGGAGTCGCGCAGCCGGACTTCGCCGCTACTGCCCCCAAAACGACGCTGGTTTTCTACTTGGGCGGGTGTACCTCCGCAGAGATTTCGGCGCTTCGGTTGTTAAGTTCGAGGGCGCGAGGTTCCTTTTTCCCGAAGATTCTTCCCTTTTTTAATCTGCTCATGTTTACTACTGCGCAGGTTTGCGCCGATATCTTGTGGCTACTACCAGTATAATAACGGGAGACGCCTTACTTTCGACTTTGGAGGGCCCCTTTCCCTGCTAGCGCGCTATTAATTCAATAAATTATGCCGATCACAAAAGCTTTATTTTCTGCTACGCGGGTAACAAGGATGCTTCTGCAAGCAAAGCGTGCAGCTCGTCTACCGCCTCCGCCAGAATAACAATCTTCGCTTTCAACTTTTCTATTACATTATGAGACGTCAGTAAAGGAGGCAAAGTAAATTAACTTATATAAAACCTTTAAGATCTTGCGTTTCTGCTATGTACCACTTCCAGCTCTCTGACCTCTTAACTACTTCCTGCAGTACAGTAAGGATTTCAACGGACGCCACAGTATCCTCCGCTAATTCTTTTTCCCAAAGCTTAGATTGTTTTGAAAGCGAAAGGATTTCGTTTTTTATTTTTTGGTTCTATTTTGCATGCAAAACACATCAGCGTATCATATGGCGAGCATTTAAAATAATATTACTTCTGCTCTGAACTCTTTGATCTTTTGTTGCAACTCTTTAACTTCCCTCGAGCCTCCCACACTTCCCTTTGAAAAGATAACGCAGCTCGTATCCACGGAAGGTTTAAGAAAAATTTCACTACAGAAGACCTTCAACACAGGACTTGTTTGTTCTCTACTTGACGGACTCGAAATAGTGAGCGCTGCAACGTCTTCTACTGATGTGCTCGAGGATGAAGGCGGAAGGAGCCCCTCCTCTTCTTGAATTTCTTCAGAAGTTTCACTGAGGCTAGCGGATTCTTCAGAGGCCTGGCCCTCCGGAGGCACCGGATTTATAGCCTCAACGCAGTAAGAGGGGAAGAGCCCCATTTGTTTACGCCCATCACTAGTTTTATAGGCACCGTGGCACCACCCCTCTTCCACGTAGCCAACTTTTTTTATATAAAGTTCGGTGGAGGTTTTGCCAATAATTTTTTTAAAGCAAACCGTGTTGAAGAAGCTGTCCTTTTTTAAAAGATAAGTGTTCTCTATTACCGTCTATAAGGAAAATCGGTAAAGAGAGGTAGAAAGGTGGTTAGTTTCTGGCTAGTACCAGAAAAGTCAATTATAGCTTTGGCTACCAAAATTTGAGGTTGCTTTATAAAATTTAAAAGGACTTTGGTTAAATCTTCTATAAACTAAGAGAGACAATTTAAGAGGCTCCATAAGCTAAATAATGACCAGTATTTTACCTTAACAATTTTTTCTGAACTTTTAAAATAAAAAAGAAAAATATTTCCTTTTTTTTTAGTATTTATAAAGGTAAGTATATAAATAAAAAATAGCAGTGATAAAGTACCGTTCTTTCCGTTAAATTGTAAAAAAAATTCTTTAGTCACCTTAAAAGTAATTTTTGAGTCTAGCAAGATTTCGTACTTGGCGTTTATATGCTAAACTTTATATAAACCGATTATTATTTTTTAAAAAGATTAAAATTTATTCACGGGAAGAAAAGTTTAATAAGTAGAACCTCCTCCTTTGGATACATCATTAACTTATAAGTAGTTTTCTCGCCACTTATTACGACTAAGGCTTTGCAACCGTGTCCCCACTTTTTGTCAGCTTTTAACTTTAGAAAATATACTTTCGCTTTTGAACATATTTTTTTATCTAAAGAACTATAAGATTTTAAAAAAAAGAAGAAATCTAAAAGGGATGTAAAAACATAAAAAGGAGCTTCCACTTACTTTCCAACCATACTAATATAGAGCTAATAGTTTAGGATGTAGCAAACTTAAAAGAAAAATTAGTTCAACAGTGATGTGACAAACTTTATTACAGCTTAAAAGCGCATCATGAAGGAGTACTAAAGCATAATAGCTTACAGTTTTAAACCATCGCTATAATTTTATTTTCCAAGTATGGGAAAAAAACTAATTAGGGATGCTCAACCTCCTACAGCTCTCCTTCCCACCTTTTGTACTTAGCCCTTTTAAGTGAAGAAAGCTAAACCATTGGTATAATACCACAGTACTCAACTACTTCAAGTTAGTAAAGTTAACTATATACTTTTCGCTATATTTTAATTTCTTTATAATTATGAGAAAGATAAAATTAATATTTGGAAAACAGAATAAAAAGAGCAGTAGGCAGTAATATAATACGACCGTTTTTCCGTGGTTTCTTCGTTTTATTCAAAATTGCTTGTTTCAGAAAAATAATTAATTGAAAAAGCGCATATAAAGAAAGAATAAGTATTTAAGGCCCTATTTGGTGTTTATTCCACACGATAAACATTTGTAAAAGGTACATTCACTCTGCATCCCACAAAGGTGGCAAAAGCAGTATACTTTCTGTTGTCTCAGACCCGTTCTCGCTGGTAAAATTATTTGACGAAATGAAATTTTGTGAAGTATTAGGGTTTATAGTTTTAACGTAAATTAATATTCCTGGGAAGACCTTGTTCTATATAATTATATGTTTTTAAAGCCTTGCAAATCATCACACAGTCTCATATGGGCTCTAGGTTACTGTTGTAACTCTTTCCTAGACTAAACCTGCTTTGCTACAACTATTTATCCATGGTTTCAATAGTCACATGAAAATTCCAATAATTTTATTTTAAGAGCTTTTTAAACTCTCTTTAAAACACTCGTCAGGTAAACGGATCCTTATTTCCTATGTAATTCCTACTGAGATAGTCCCCTACTTTAGTGTTACTTTAACAGTTTAATTTCGTAACCTTTTTCTTCTTGAGACCCACGTAAACTTAAAAGTTTGGTATGTAAAGCCAGCAAATATTCTCTTAATTACTTCAAATTTAAATTATGCAACTAGATCTGCAGGTTGCAAACAAAAAGCTCACCAAAGTTAAACTTGCGCTATGACTTTCAAAGGTAAACTTCATTTTTCCTTCTTAAAAGTGTTTTTTTATTACCTGGCAAGCTACAGCCAGGCCCTATATAGAAGAGGGCCTTATATACTGCTCAATGTGATCTAAGATCGCACGAAAGCCAACCTAGGGGCGCTTGCACTATCACCACTGCCCCGAAGGACTGAAAAAGCGGAAAATATCGGGCCTGGACTTCCGCCATTCAACCTAGTATGGTGGAAAATTCCTAAAAACTTCCACCGGGAGAGGTAGTCTTAGGTACGAGATACGATAACATGTTAAATACGCAAAGCCATGATACCCGGATTGGGAGTTGTCGTCGTAGCTCAGCGGTTATGGGCTCATTGATGCGCATACTCAAAGTCGTGGGTTGGATTCCCACAGATGCAACTCTCTTTTACGGTCTGATGGCCGCGTATTTAGCCTTGACCTCTAAAATACTAATATTTTAGGCCACCCGGAGACATTGGCCAGCACCGCAGCCAGCCAGGCCTCCCCAATTATGAGCTCCTCAACTAGTAGGGAGTAGCCCATAATCGTTTTTGTAACCTCCATGCTCTTTTATGACACTTTTCGACATCTCTACTCTTTTTATTGTCATATTGCAAACATTATTAATCTACTTTTACTTAACATAGCTCATGACGTTTAATTACATGAAATTTATAGTGAAATTACTCATGGTCACTCTTTCATAATAAAACATTAATCCTCCTACCTAACGCCCCACGCAACCCTTGTCTTTTTTTTAAAAAATAGTGGACTTGGGAATACCGATTGTGCTGTAACGGTTCCCACCAATATACGTACATTTTCATTAGCATTTTCCCTTTTTTCTCTTTGTGTGACGACCATAAGCTAAGATTACTTATATTAAGATGAAAAAGGCTTTGCTTTTATAAAAAAAACAGGACCGAACATAATATATATCGATCGACAATACCTAATTACAAAAAGATTAATTTCAACTTGAGTCACGTCTCAAGTTAGAATTGGCATTTATGATGCAAGAGCCACGTAAAAATCAGATGCCAATAAGAGTTCGTGGAAAGGGCTAAAACAAACATGGAACTCATTTTTACGCCTTAAATATTCTCAAACCTTACATTTATTTATTCACTTAAATCTTAATTTTAGTGTTATAATTCCTTACAATTTTCTTGTATTTCATTATATTAACATGCATAACAGATTTTTCCCTTCAATATTACAAATTTTAGTATACTCTATACAACGTAAGGGAGGTGATTTCTCCCTTTAATTATGTCTGGCAAGCAAGGCAACGATTATCTTTTTTAAAAAAAATTGGTAAGCGTGAGATTAGCTTCATTAATGTTAAGATATGAAACCTTTATCAAAAATTTACTGTCCCTTTAGGTGGGTTTCCGATTTTTGACTGGTGGGGAAATCTAACGGTTTAAAAGTGTACTTTCTCCGGTTCGTATTTGTTACCTCCAAAAAAAAATTAACTATTACTAAATTTGGATAAATGTATGGATAAAAGAAACGATTTTAATAAGGAAGTATGGAATGAAGTTAAACGGAAATCATTTAGTAAAGAAAGGACGAGGTTATTCTGATACTCTAATAAAAGATGGGCGTCCACCACTTTTTTCGCATGGTGGGAATCTACAAATTAGTCGAGGGCATCGTTATCTTTCTTTACCTGTTTGTTAACTATAGCCCTCGGTATGCAGCGGTACGCACATAGTAAGGTTGTGAAGAGGAAAGGACTTGGTTGAATATATAGGGTCGCCCTTCGCCTTACTTAATAATAGTATATGGCCACTATGGGTGTCTCATAAAAACAAATATACTATTTTAATGACCGCTTATCATGTCAAGTTAGATTTAGTTCTTTACGCACGAATATATAGTCTCTAAAATATTAATAAAATATTTTAAAAAAGGGAAAACACATCTCCTTATTCCCCAAATTTTTTAATTTTCAAGCAGTCACAGCATTTTTATTCTTTAGATTCTAAAATCAAGGAGCAGTCCTTTTAAATTTGCAAACCCTCTTTCCCTAAATGAAAAAAACAGCTCACTACCAGGTATCCTAAAGGAGGTTGTGGTTGGGCTATAAACAAAATAATCTAGCCTTTCTATAAATATTAAGGTAAATAAAGTTACAAAGTAATAAAGTGATATAGTGTCCGAAAGAATAGAATGCTCGTTCTCTCGACCTTATTTACCTTGGATTTTTCTTTTTTTTTTTTTTTTTTTTTGTTATCTAGCTTAAAGTGTGACTATAGTAATGTTTTTTATAAGCTTGCAGACCAATGGGGATAAGGAAATAAAAAAATTGGAGCATGCAAAAGTTTTATGATATAGTCTTAAAATTTTGAATTAGCTTGTAAAATATCTTAATAAAGTTTTTTTTGAATTGGGGCTGTATTGTGTTTTTACTATTAGTCGATAAAGTGATCAAATTACCATACGCGGTTCAGCTTTTAGTCTGTTTTAGTTAACACGCCATTATTAGAGCTGCTTAAAACTTTAGCGTCGTTTGGTGTGAAAGGCGTAAACCGCAACTAATATGAATTTAAATGAATACAAATAGTTAAATAGGGCTTAGGCCCCATGATAAGCCAAAAAAGAGACCACTATGAAAAGGAGAAACATAATCTTTATTTTTTTTGCTTTCTACTTTAGTAGAACACTATAGCCAACTAGTATTTCTAGACTGTTAATTGTTATTTTGTTCTAGTATGCAAAGATAAAGAGGTTTAAGCAGAGACCTTAAGGGTCTCCTCCTCGGATTCAATTCTCAATTGTAGTATTTTCAACTATAACACCTTCCCTTTTAATTCGTTTTCTTTAAGTAGGACGGACTAATTCAAGTTTTAAACGAAAACTTATTTTATTTTTAAATGAAACAAAGGGTTCAAGCGTGCTAAGCTTGGTCTCCAGGGGGCCTGGAGTCTAGTACTTGGTTCCATCTCTCCTGGTGGTAATTTTTAGGTTTCCACAGCCTATGTTAAATGGGAGAAGTTCTGGATCAGTACACCGCCACTCCCCTTCTCAATATTTCGGAACAGTCATCTTGGGAAATAACACTATTTTTTAAATCATTTCATTCCTAGTAAACAGTATTAATTTTTTTATTGGTAAAAACGTAATTCAATAATATATGATGTACCCTCGGGAAAAATGCACTAATGGGAATTCGTGCACCAACCCCTGTCGAAGGAGGGGTGGCCAGATTGGAGCGGGTTAAAGTGCTTCTTTGAACTGACCATAGTAGATGGTTTAATTAAAATTAAAAATAGAGTCGCCTCCGCACTGCGTTTTTTTGGTTTTTATTTTGTTGGTTGAGGTTCCAGTCTATAGCTCTGGCTCGGAGCCCATTGCAGCTGATAGCAAATGTTACCTACTCTGACCTAAAAGACTAGAGGGTAAAAGGGCATTAATCATTTATAGGGTGCTCGTCCTAGTAATTGGTTGTTTAAAAGTAGTTATTAGTAATTTTTTTATCCAGTTAAAATCTTTTAATAGAGTAAATTATGTAATATTGTTCTTAGTTATAGGCGGTAATGAAGTTACGTTATAATACAGTGTTATAACGAAGGTCAATAATAAAGTAATTTTTTAAGTATTTTGTATATAAATTCCTTACCTATATATATAAATAAAGTACTTTTGTTATAGAAATATTATTTTGTTCGAAAGTATTAAGTTCGGGAAAGAAGTTTTCGTATTAAATAATAATGAGTCGACTTTATTTGTAGAATAAATTCCATGCAGATAGTTAATTAATTGCTAACCACAGGGAAAAGCAAAAACACAGGCTACACAATGCTCCCTTAAAAAATTAATTTTAAGTTCAGAGAAGGAGATTATCTTTTAAAAATGCTAGCTAGTGATATTTCGACTGTATACAGAGCTGTAGTGATAATAGACTAAGGCTATTTGGGAAGTTGCCTAACTCCCAAAAAACTTCGGAGTGTTGTTAAGTAACTGCCTAACCAAATCATTTTTAACTTGCCTTGAAATAAATTGCCCAGGTAGCGCGAAATTATTAATTACGAATTCTTATTATTACGTATCTACTTTGGAAACTAGAGCGAGGGGTTTAAGCCTTTTTATGAATAATAACTTTGGGCACGGATTTACATAACAGCACAACTGTCATGAAAAAATATTTTATTTGCTTATTTTCTCTCAATGTCTCCTGAGTTAATGGTGTGTAGATATTGCACGTGAAGGAGGTTGTTATTTAGATGTGTTAGTTCTCTAAGAGACTGATCTTGAGTAGCTTCCGCGTACGCTTGAAAAGATTGTAACGACAGAGTAAAAGAATTTGAAAAGAGTTCATTGGCCCCTGAAATCTGCTGCACTGCTCCAGTTACTTTATTATTCCCAAATGTGTATCTTAAGCCAATATTTCTAAAATTTAACTGGCCCTTAAGAAACGGGTTTCGATTGAACAATATATCCTCTTCTAATAATTCTTGAATATCTACTGCTTTCAACTCGGGACATGAGCTTTCCCTTTCTTTTTCAGGGGCCAAGAAGTCAGGTGAACTATTGAACTTCAAAATATTCTTTGATTCTTCCTTTGATGCGCAGAGTTCATTTTGAATAACCTCCGTATCCATCAACTTGAGATTTTTTTGCTTTTGGGAAATTTTTTCAGGCATACAGCTGTGATCCACTATATAATTATTTATTTACTTAGCGAGCTATCTTTCGAGTTAGAAAATTAGTCATAGTCATACCTTGGGAATTATGTTGATTTTCAAGATATTTGGTATATAAAGGAAATGCTATGCGGTCATTTTCGTGTTCCTTAGCTCGCAATTAAGAAAGTAAACTTTGTTAAAGTGGTAATCTGCAGATAAATTGTAAAAAATATAGAAATTACTTGTTTCTCTACTAATATTGTTGCCCGAGTAGGTAAGTTTGTAACGGTAAAACGTTTATTTTCTCTGCTAACAATTTGAGAGACACTAGTTGTGGATGTCACTTAAAGTTAAAAAATCAAAAATTTCAAAAGGTTATTCAATAAAAATTATTTTAACCATGCACCCCTTATGAACTTTAGTTCGTTTGCTTGTTCCATTTAAACACATAGTAAAGGACAATTAAAAAGGATACTGTTAAAAAAAAATTAGAAAGATATATGTAAAATAAAGACTAAAGTGTTGGGGGAACCCGCGCAAATCTTGCGCGCATAAAGCTACAATTTTTTAATGACGTACTAAAAAAATAGCGAAACTATTACCGTGTAAGGTTGAAGTACTTAGGAATTTTTTTTTGATTCTGGTGGGACTTGTTCTTTTTACTTCTATAAAATATACTTAAGAATTCAAATTAAAGATAAGGCAATAAAATTATTTAAATTTATCAAGTTCAATTGTTGCAACTTTAGTTAAACTCTAAGTCAGTGATACCGCTTTTTCGTTATTCTTATTTTTTTATTAAAAAATTACTTCATCTAAAAACTGAAAATGACGTTTTAAATTAGTGTGCCGCCAAGCCAACGGCGCCACTTGTTTCAGACATACTGGTAGTACTGATAGGCTTAAGAGTAAGAGGTGTGGCTAGTTGTTATTATGGCGTATCTCACAAATGTTCCTGTTTTAAAGGCTCTTGGTTGGCCTAACTTTTAAAATTTTAAGAAAATAATTGTTACCCATAAGGCATATTCTATACATTACAAAAGTGTACCCGAAAGGAAAGCTTAGCGTGGGCTTAGGGCTTGTTTGCACCAACTCTCCAAGCAAAATTCTATAATTGCGTATAGCAACCAGCTGTTTCTGGGCAATGTAATTTTCCCGAAAGCTTGTTAAACCTTTTATAAGTAGTAGTGTTTTACACTTGCTAAGTGTTCATACGTCTTTAAATATCTTATGTCAATAATGCAGTTAGCTAAGGTAATGCACGGGATTTGCTTTAATACTGCGCGGATTAATTTAAACGTCCCGTACTTTACCAGAGGTCGTTGCTTCAGAAGGATAGTGTGCTTAAGTAAATTAATGGTATTTATAACAGGTTTGTGGTCCTTCCTGATAACTTGAGGGAAAGAAAGATGACATTACGTTATGAAGGTACTTCACTTTGCAAGGCAGTACTCGATAAAACAGTTTTTTATGTGATTTAGTAGTGTAACAGAGGTTAGATTTCTAAGGGTAGCGATAATAACTGAGGTTGTTTAGTACTTATAGTGATGAGGGTACAAATTAGGGATTTTAGGGTTGGTTCGAAATAACAAATCTTCAACACTGCAGCTTTGTTCTAGGTGCTTATAATTGATTTGAGAGTTCAACTGAGGTGATTTTAAAACGATCTCAGTTGTTATGCGACTTCTCTACAACTTGGTGCTTGCATCCCATATCAAAATTAGGCCAAAAAAGATAGAGTTAGTTTCTCGACGTGAAAAAAATTCCATATTATGGGTGTTCGCAAGACTGGGTAGTGAAAAATATTCCTGTCCAATTTAGAAATATGCAAGAACCATAGAGTTCGCCAGTAAAACTTACCACTAGACAAAGTCGAAAGTTAAATGTTATGTCTTATCTTCATTGCTAATGTTGACAGCTTTAGAGAAAATTATTTACTAAAAATTTTTTTATTAATCTAATGTAATAACTGACTATGGACTTCCTGACAACAACAGTAACTTTTTTATTTGCACCTATGGCAAATACTAGGAGACCGTTTGATAATATTGGAATATCTAAGGACAAGGTTAAATTCGCAACCATCAAAGAATCGAAAAAGAGGGTTGCGACGGTGGGAATGGAACACAGGAACTTGAGCTTGCGCGTCAATGCTCTTACCCGCTAAGGAACGACGCCTCTACTCTCAATGAAATCCCCGAAGTTATGGGCTTTTTCGGGTGTTTCCAGTTGCCTCCACTAGCAAAAACCTTTTTCGTGATATGAACAGTGACAGTTAAAAGTATTGCGGCGGAATTTTAGCCTAAAGTGAGAGTAGCTGATTGAGGTGAAACACAAAGTTGAGTCTAGAAAAATTTTCTGGTGTGTAACCAAAAAAATTTAGTAAATAGGCCAAAAAATTTCATCCTTATTAAAGCTTAGTATGACAGATGTGTTAAAAGGTTAAGGTCATGTCTTAGACCTTTATATATTCCCAGAAACATCGTCTGTAGTAGTACTAACGTAAGTGAGTTTAACACTGCATGTTTTGGCTTAATGGCGTGTACAACCGTCGCAGAGAATGTCCAAACTTTCCACAACTTTTACACTTGCTTTGGTAGCTCGCGTCTAAGAATGGAATAATTCTAGTGTAAAGTTTATTTTATAGTAATAGTAGGGGCACTACAATAATTAAACTTACTCAACTCTATTTTAAATTTAAGTACCTAACTTAACATCCTTCTTTTTATTTCTCAGTGCATTTTAGGCTGGTAAAAAACATCAAATTATTGATTCACATATTCTAGTTTTAAAGACTTGTTTATAGTAGATAAACAAGATAAATAAAATATAGGTTTATATCAACGTACGAAAAAACTCTGTAATAACTTATTTGATAGATTTAAAACCACCCGAGGTATACAAGCCTACCACACCAAAAACACCGAGGAAAAAAAATAACAACTATTTCCTGGTGCTTGATCGGGTCAAGAAACATCAAATTTACGAGCCCACACTTAGTGATAGCGTAAAAATTAGATTTAAGCTTGTATTGAAGCAATATTTACAAGACCTTTAGCCCTAAACTCTAATGAAAATTCATTAAAATTCCATGTATTGCGCAGAAGGCAGAAGCGTGTGCCATCTCAACTTAATGTTTTTGTTTATTTCATAAAAAATATTGTACGTTATATTTCGATGAGGTTTTAATGAATTCGTTTGGTCAGTTAACTTGGAATATACATATCCAAGCTCGTAGACCTTTTTATGAAGTACTTACTTGCTTAACGTGATGTCATGATTTCTACTTGTCGCAACTGAACTAGTAATATTAAGAATAATACGTTTTTACAGAAAACAACCGTTAAAATTTAATTTCTTTATTTAAATGTTCTTTAATGAACGAATTATAATACGAATATCAAAGCTTAGCATTAAATTACTGTTTTTCTTCTTCTTTCATATTGTCTTCCGTTTTGTTGCTCTTTTTTCGTATTCATTTATTTGAAGCCTCCTTGTCTTGTTATGGGCTCTAAACTTTGAGCCGCCGCATATATAGAAAATAACACTGTTTTTATTAATATCTATCATTATATTGAACCATACCAATAGCATTAGTTAAAATAGTGGGCAACTTAATAGCAAATGAACGTCCTCAATTGGATGCTATTAATCAATATAAGATTGCACAGGTACGACACTTCCCTTGTTTTTATGACGGCTAAGTTGTCTTAAACGTAGTAATTTAAAATATTTCTTCCTCCACGAGTGTTTGGCTATTATTGCAGCGCCGGAGATAGGCCTCACCGATATGTTTACTTAAACTTTGTTAAATTATTAGTTTTGGCAAGAGAACAAAGAGTTGAGGTGTTTAGAGTTTAATTTCCTAAAAGCCCCAATTATTATCTGTTTGTCCTTTTAACGGCTTTATTATTGTTAATTTTTATTAAGGAAATGAAAACCGAATTGCACGGAATTTGTAAAGTATAATCATCTATTTAAGGAATCAAATAAATTGCCTTTCTGTACACATCTTTAATACATGAACGACCTAAACATTCCTAGGCAAGTTAAAAACAGCGAATATTTTTAAAGGCTGTAGAAATCCTACCGGTTCATATAATCATGCTTACTCATATAGAAAAAATAAAAAGAAGGTAAAAACCTTAAATTCATTAACGCTGTGGCCTAAAAGTTATGCATGGCCTTACAGCTAACTTATTTTGCGGAGGTGGTCACTCCCCCTAATCTTTTTCGTGATAAGGGAAATGTATTAAAAATTACATATACAAAAATAAACCATACAGATATAAAATTTAAAGATAAACCAATTAAAAATATAATAAACTAATATTTTTAGAATAAACGCGATTTTGAAGAGTTTCACCAGAGGCTATGTTTAGAAACAATATATACAAATATGGTAATTATTAACTCTGACGAAACCAATTTAAACATTTATTTTTTTAAAAATCTAAAAATATATATAAATTGAAATACTTTTTAACCTTTTGAGTAGGTATATAATCTGCCTGATTGTAAGAAAAAATCCAATAAAAATTTACAGCATTTAATTAAAAGAAGGATTAACTTAATATCCAATATCCAATGATTTATAAATTAATCTAGATATTCTAGATTATTTAAACACTTACAAGAATAGACAACAATCCCTATTATCTCTCCTCGGCTCTTTATTTTGTTTTTAATTTCATTTCTTTATTATTTATTTTTATTTAAACTTATACATATTTTTTATATCTGTTCTTATTTTTTCTATATTTTACTCTAAATCTTAATAGATTACCTTTTTATAAGGGGATGTGGACGATGCGCACTCATTCCTATGACCACTAACAGTCGGAGTCCCGCAGAATACTCTATTATCACACCTACTCTTTGCACTTTATGTACGCGACCTGCCACAGTCTGCCAACCCCCACAAGCTGATTGATTGCCTTATATGCGGATAAACACATACTTACCCCTGTCAAAGTCACCTGCCCTTTCGAGTTAGCTTTTGCAGTACTACATAGTGACGCTTGCCAACTGGTGCCGGGGTTGGAGAGTTACTATTGACGCGGTAAAGAACAAAGGCCCTTTTTATTACAAAGAAGCTCACTACACCACTACCGCCGCTCAACTTGAAAAATAAAGTAATTCTTTGGTGCCCTGAGGGGAAATACCTGGGTGTCATTATCGACAATAAGCTCACGTGACCCGCACGTAAACTATCTAGCAGCAAAGGTAAAGGCGGCGGGTTAAACTCTTTTTACTTGTGCCCGAAGCAAACTCTCGCTGCACAACAAGCGACGCTTGTATTTGTAGTGCATCCAACCGATCATGATATACGCGGCTACCGCCTTGGCCTTCGGCTCACCGGTAGTAGCCTCTTTGCTTCAAGTGAGATAAAACAAGCTGCTACGCCTCCGCCTTATGACGGGCCCGCCAAGGTTTGTTCGCAACGAGTCCTTACATTAAGACCTCCAGATTGAACTTTGGGTAACGTTTTTTTACGCAATGTTATCGCCACCTACGATCGGCTCAATCAGCACACCAGTCGATCACTAACACATGAGGTCAACTACCAAATCTGGGTCGGAGCACGCTACTGCCGACCGCTCACTGAACTTTAAATAAATATGAATTACGGGTAGAATTATTTTTAATATATATATATGAGATTGCTTTAGCACAAGCCTTCTTGGTGCAATCAGTTAAAATACTTGGTGCTCTTATTGACTCTAGACTTATCTTAAGAATTAAATTTCTGCTTTATATCTTCTCATTTTTAAAAGAAATCTTGAAAATAAACTCCTTATATATAAAGCTATTCTCAGGCCTATTAATAGTTACGCTTCTGTCTCATGATCTTACTGCTCGACTTTACTCATAAACAGACTTCAAATTCTTAACTACATCATGAATGTGATTTTAAACCTTTTTTGCTTTACCTTGAACGGAGGGCTATAAGATGTATTACTCAATATGACGAATACCCCAACAATTTAATAACTAATGCCTTGGACTATGCTTCTGCAAATTTTATAAAATATAATTTACTAAATATTATTTGGATCTATCTTAGAAAATCGAGTATTGAAACGTCTCCAGAACATTTATTACATGATTATTATATTTTGAATTTTAGGTGGGGGGAAGGGGAAGGGGGAATGTGTAATACGCTTAAATCGCAAAGACATCGCTGTCTTTATGTTATGAAAGATGATCCGAGAGGCCTTAATTTATAAAGGGGGCCACCCTCTTCAACCATCACCGTAATGAGGGAATTTAAGCAGTTTAAGTTATTGCAGACGACTGTCGTAGGTCAAAACGATAAATAAATAGACAAATAACACAAGCCTAAAGCTAGTGGGTACGCTATCAACCCTGTGGAGAGCTCGTAAAGTCGGTGTTTTTCTTTTACGACCTTATCGAGCATCAGGAAATATCATTACTAATAATAGTATAAGAACTCCTGTCCTTTTTGTTCTCCCCTTATCCGTTCCCTGTGTCACTAGAATGTAGGTCAAGGGTTTAAGTTACTATATACAACGATAATAGTACGGTGGAACATATTATAGATAAGATAAATATAACGTGGGGTTGCTGACTTTTTTTTTTGCTCCGTACTCTTGCCTTAGCTACTTTATTGTCATAGATTGACAGCAGACTAAAGGACCAGAGTTACAATGTAAATAGCGATTTTAGTTAAAGGACACGAAAAATACAAAAAGGTAAACTTGTAGAAGGGGTTTAAGTAGGGTGAGTTAAGTAACTTAGAGGTCTAGAGATCCATTAAGTAGGTATATGTCATTAATTAGTAAAAGAGAAATTTCTAACAAAACTATTAAGAGCAAAATATTGAAAAATAATATAATTCGAGATTAAAATTTAATATCTGCAACAAATTTTTAGACGTGCTTCCAAAACGTAGGTAGCATCCATTAAATGTATTCCGTGTTCTTAAATAATAATGCAGTTTCTTTGCGAAGTATTCAGTTTACAAAATAAGCTGATCCAGGGAAAACTTTAATTGAGTAGTCAGGGGGCGAGGACAAACTTTTCATGTAAAATTTCTCCACCCTTTCCTATTTTTTTTAGCCTTTAGCCTTGAAATCTTCCCTATTTAGCGATTGTCCTGTATAACGAAGTTAATTGGGGCATTCAAATTTGTTTGTGTACTATGTCACTTGGTCGATGGCTAGTGTATATGAGATAGTAAAATTTCTGTTTGGAGTCAACTAACTATTGGAGAAGGGTATAGTCAAACTAAAGACAAAGAACTATGGCTTTCAATAACGCACAAAAAATTGAACAAAATTACTCTTTTTTGCTTAAGCATAACTCTTTAATCTTCTATCATACATAATCAAAGCTACAAAGAAAAATGGCAAATTATTATTTTTTTGAAATTTACTAAACTTAAAAAAGTTTTAGTTGACGAAATTAAGTGCAACTTTTGCTTGTAAGATAACTGAAATTACATGACGTTGGCTCCCAATGAAAATCTATAAAATGCTTCTTATAACTCTCTATAAAGATAGTTGAAAGAATTATAACTGCAAATATTTGTGTTAAACGAAATTTATAGTCACAACGTGGCATACGGTCTTTTCATAGTAAGGTTAAATATAAATATTTATTTTTCACTTACTTACGGGCTTCACTTGAGACCACTTGAATACTGGATGGGTAACAGTCATTATTATGTAGTTTATCGATATTTATTGTTTTATAAATATAATATTTATTTATTTAATTATATACAATCTGAGTTTATTTCTATTGTCATATATGACTTTCAAAACTCAAATCTCTGGGTTTACACCACGAAGGGCTACCACACAATGCAAAAATAGGACAATTTAGTATTTGATACCAAAAGTGTTGATAAAAAAATAGAGGCCTCTTATAAAACAACTAACTTATTTAAACAAAACTAAAAATTAAGTTTAATAACTTTAATTAGAAATAAATTCTCTAAAAGCTTGACATTTGCGCTTCTAAATAAAAAAAGCTTACAGCAAACAACTTCATGATTTCTATAAATTATATATAACAATAAATTTTGAAAACTTTATATATAAGGACAGTTAAAAAAATTTATTTATAATTGTTCCACAAAGTGGTGTAAATCAGCTATTAAAGTTAGCACTTCGCTTCGACTACTCATTGTCTCCACATTGCTTTAATTGTTTTTTTCATACTCATTGGAGGGGATCAAAAAGGTGTTGTAAACCATCCCTTATTATAAAACGTAAGAAGAAAATTTCGCAAGTCAAACAATCTCAATAGCACTACCAACCTCGTTGGCCGTTAATAATAGCCTCCCACCATGGATCTTCCTCCTTCGAAGTAACCTGTGTTAATATTGTTATTATTTAGGGTTCTTACTGTCCAAAGTATTAAAGAAGCAATACATAAACGTGAGAGCCGGCTTTGAAGGATAACTCCTCCTCGCTTTGTCTGGTATAATCGTTCAAAGCACGATCTATTTGAAAAAATTGTAGCAGTGTATCAATAGAAAAGCAACGAATAAAAAAAGTTTAATAGAACATAAATAAAATCTTTTTAACTAACTCGATGGAGAAATTAACTCGAACTTTAATATATAATAGGAAATGTACACTCCACGGCGTTTGGACTCTGACTAGAAGACTTCAAGGAGTACAAGTTCAGGTTTGATACTGAACCCGCTGAAAATAAAAGGTTAAAAAAGGTCAGCTTTAAAAATCTATCTTTTCTGGATTAACTGTTTAACAATTACAGCGAAGACACGCCTTTTTAGAAGCTAATAAACAAAATAATTAGTTTTTTAATAAAAACAAAATAATTAGTGAAATTTTGATATCGTATATAGATTACAAGCTTCAGATATGATCCCTCGAGGGCTACCTAATTTACAATAGTCGACAGATGGGATCTCCTCTATTACAGAAAGTTACTAAGGACTTACAGAAGAATAGGGCAAACAAAAACAGTTTACTTAAACGGACTGTTCCAGTAGAAATATTTCTTATTAATAACTGTATCTCTTCGTTTACATCTATATTATTAGAGGCATCCAAAAGTTTTTTGTATATCTAATAACGATTTCGCCGGGAGTGAGCGTATACAAAAGCAACAAAAGGCACAAAAACCGACTCTTTCGGTTTCCTGGGCGCAGTGCCTACCGGCTTCTGCTATATTCATAAAAGTATTCTTTGTAAAGGAAATTCTATCCTCTTCTAACTCCTGATAAATCTGTACGAATCGTAACCGTGTTTATTTTTTATTCCTACCAAGATGACGCCAGTGCAAACCTCACAGAGAACTGTAAAGTCGCTCTCCCACTGCTGCTTTATATCGTTATAAGATCGCACAGCCTCAAAGTAGGCGATTTCCAAGGTGTCCACAGCGGTCTTGACTTTGCAAAGTTTCCCTTGATTCTCAACATCGGCCATAAAACTTTAACATAGTAAGTAAATTTTATAGAAAACAGTCTCACTTTTTCCGTTTGGCTTTGTGCGTCCAACGCCTCGAACTCTTTACACTTTGTATAATACAGTTTTTGGGTCTTTAACAAGAATAAAAGAGTTGCTGTTACGGTAAAAAATATGCCCCCAAAAAAGTTTTACACACCCTTGAAACTTTCTCATAAGCCTTTAAACGTTTTTCGTGAGTTTTATGGCACGAATCTTCAGCCTTAAGAAAAAATTTATATAATATCATATGCAGTGCAAGGTTGTTCGTGTAAAGTCAGAAAAGTTCTTATCCATCCAACAGCACGACAATGCAGTTTAATTTTATATAAAATAATAGATAACTTGTTAACTCTGCAATAAACAAAACAACTTTTTATTGAAAAAAAAAAGGATTTAATAATAAATTTAAAAAGTATAATTTGACTAAATGAAACTTTTCCGATCTTTATTTTATTTAAATTTTCTCTTTGTCTTATATTTTACTTTTTCGATTTTTTATTTGTGAACATAATAGGTTCTTTTATTGTAAATTATTATAATAATGCTTCAGAATATAATAAATCTACTCCGCCTTTTTACGTTATTGAATTCATAAACTTTGGAATTCTACTCTCTTTGGCTGTTAGCATTTATAAAGAAGTTTTAAATTATATAAAAATTTATAAAGCCGAAAGTGTGGGCTGCCATGGGATTTAACCCACTAATTTCTCTAAGCGAAAACTAGGACGTGGTGATACTGATACTAAAAATATTGCATTCTGTTGATTTTTTGCTCAGATTGTTTTTTAATAAAAACTTTTTCCTGTATAAAACACAAGAAGTAGACAATTTCAACATAAGTGATGTTTAAGGGTCTTAGTTATAAATATATAGTGCTTTTACCACAAAGAAATGCAACTCTAATACGTGAATTATAAAACGAGCCCAGAGCTGCTCACTTTAACGTCTTTTTTAATAACCACTTAAACCAAACAGAATCCTATACTCCAACTTTTTATAATCGGTTTCTATTTTGGCAAACATCCACAAATTATTAATAATAGGGGCTTTGAAATAAATTACTGATAGAGAAAGAAATATTCACTTCTAAAACTCACAGACAACATAACTGGTAAAGAGCTATAAAAAGTAATTCCGCTGATGCAAACAAAGTGATAAGCTTAAACAGTAACTACTCGTACGCATAAGCAACTTTATGACATGCTAAGAAGATAGTCAAAGTTTCGAACAACCACCACTAAATTTTTAAACTAATTTGAAAGTAAATGCTTTGCCTTCTTAAAAAAAGAATAAAAACTACTTACAATTTTTCTTCTTCGCCTTTGATGGTTATTAAAAGATTTTAGCTCTGGAAGATACTCATTTTCAAAAACATCTGCTACAGTGAGATGTGTTTGGCCAACGCTGTGCGTTACTAATATTTAAAAAAGATTGAAATTGATTTTTATTAAAAATTAATTAAACAACCAGCCAATAATGTGTCCCAACAATGCTTAAGTTCTCCGTGATTATCTCTATGCGAAATGGAACCTGCAAGCTTCATAAATGCGTTTCCATAAGATTTTTCAAATTCTACTCTAATAGTATTACATAACTTTAAACCACCAAACTGTAACATCAGCGTGAAAGGGGAGTTAAATAATTAGTATAAACATTGACACAAACTATAAATCAAATTTACCTTCTACGCATATTATTTTTATATAATACTTTACAAAAGCGATTATTGTACTTTATTTGCAACAAAAAAATATGTACTCATAAGTTAGTACTTTTTTCTATAAAATTCTTCAAAGGCTTCTCCCATAGACTTGGCATCGTGCATGCGCTTATTTAACACTTCAAAACCTAAAGCAGAATTTGGAAAATGCAAATATAAGTTAAGTAAAAATATATATTGAAAATTATATATTTATATTATATAACCTTCTGAACTTTCGGCATTCTCGTGTCCTGACTTGCCCTTGTAAAATAAAGTAAAACAAAATGTTATGAAAGATCGTATAAAATACCCAGAAAAAATCAGTAAACTTGTGGTTATCTGAAGCTTCCATTATAGGACGAAAGATTTTTCGACTTTTAGGGAAAGAGATTATTAAATTATAGTTCTTAAAAACTCAAACTCATTTAGTCCTTAACAAAGTAACAGAAAAGCTCTACTGCAGTAGGACAAGCGGGTCGAAGCAGGTCTCAACTTGTCAACCAGCGGTCCTATAAATTTTGCATTATTGTGGCGTTAGACAGTCATGCTTATCCTAATCGATGCCTGTAACTTTGGTGAGTTTTAAAACATGAAAGGGTGTTTATAACTTGGTAATGAGTAATTTTGAAAATAATTAAAGGTTTTAGGTTTACATATGCATATCTTATTTGAGTCTTTACCTTACTTAAAGACTTTTGATTTAAGAAGATAGTACAATGTAAATCTCCTAGCAATTAAACATGGATTATATGTTAGTGCTGTATTACTGTTCTTGATTTTTTATATATACTAATTTAAAGCTTTTTGAGTAGAGAAACAAAAAAAAATTTTTTAAAAAAAATTTAAATAAGAGCAGTTTTTCGTTGCAGCTCGCCCTTTTTAATTTGCTAATTATTTTCGGTATGACGGGTATGTAGTCTATTCCTCAGTGTTTTTCCTTTTTCTGATTTCTTTTTTACGTTTTAATATTAGCTACCACAATTTTTCTTTCTGTATATTTTGAATTTAAAGAAAACTTAATTTTTACTTTAAAGACACTCGTTAGTTTATTTATAAAACCCAGTTTAAGCATACGCCCAAGTCTTCATTTTATAAAAGAAATGTCGGTACTTCCCATATTTGTGATGACTTCGTAAGCTTAAAAACCGATGAATTATAAACATTTAAATATAATTTACCAAATTTTTAATTACTAATTTTAATCTTACTATAAGTACTGCACCTTTTTAACTTTGCGCCCACTATGTAGAAGTTTTTCTTGTTTGTTGCTTTCGCAGCTAATAGGTCTAATTGTATTTAAGTTAATACTTTAAATATTTAAACTATGTATATTCAGTTATATACAAATAAATAGGAGAGTTCAGTTATTCTATTAAGTTGTTACACCATTCTTACGCTATAACCAAGCCGGTTATAATGTTCTATGAAGATAAACAGGGCGAAAAGTTGTGATAGGAGTAAATTATAGAAGGTTGAATATGTGAAGATAAGGGAACTACCGTTCGGCCAGATAGCAACGAACGTAGAATTAGTTCTAAAGGAGGTTAAACAGGGTAAAGCTCGTAGAAATGAGTTAAAAAGTTCGCAGAACAAAAATTGAGAACAACAGAACTTAAAATAGGTAAAGACGGCGCTTTATTATAAAAGATTCAGTCAAATTCGTTCCTTCCGAAAAGAAGTGTTCAAGTTGTAAACCCCCAAAGGAAGAAGAGAAAATTATTAAGTGCGAGCTCATTACAGCTATTAATAGGCGCTTGAGAGCGTCAACGACATTTACACCCTCCAAATATAACGGATCAGTCTGGTAAGATATAAGAAGACACTAAAATGAGAAATAATGCTGCTCCCATATTGCTTAGCGATACGTCATTTTTGCCAAGCCAATCACGCTTTGTTCGTTACATATATCGTGTAGGCTCATATTTTGTAATTTTTAATTAAACCTTGTTCTCTGCTTTGCTAACGTTTCAAAAAAATTGTTATTAAGAATACTAACTAAAACTATTTTTTGAAGCTGACCTGTGCAAATTTATTAATGTATTAGCTAACTTTTTACATAACCCTCACTCGCTTAGTGATTGGAAAGTTGCACTTACCTTACAGCCTTTTTAAAGATATTGGTTAAGACCCCCACTCGCGTAGTCCAAATTGGCTGTAGTGCATATAATTGATATAAAGAGAAGGTAACAAGTTTTTTTAACTATTCTGCAACTGCATACAAAAGACAAAGACAAGAGAGACTGAGCGTTTATTTATATATTTATAGCACTGATTAGCTACAGGCGTTACTATAATCAGTTGCTGCTTAAGCTACTTTCCCTCTATTAATTGAGGGTGCGGAAGCCACAACTTCCCTAACGATTCATTGCCATCAACGAGAAGAACGGATTCGCTTTAGCTAACTATTATACATTAATAACGACGTAATAACAATATTACACGTAATAAAATACCATTATATTATTAGAAATATATATATTAATATTATATTAGTAGGTTAATAAAATAAACTATAACCAGTCGTATACCCCCTCCAATAGATCTAGGGAATGTTTTACCGCGGGTACTTGAGGTACTAACGAGTCATAATCAGGTGCCTGCCTAATTAGTATGTTGGGGAACTACTGGCTCTAGTAAGCCATTCCGTGCAATTGTATAAAGATATTCTTAAATAGGCCCGAGGTTACACCCTCTATGTAGTTGACTGTTGCGCACAGACCAAGGGGCGTCCACCACCATTCTCAAAACGCGATGATGTAGTATTTGTAGTCGATGTATATGTTTACTTGAGAAGTAGGCCCGGCAATAGAGTCATAAACTATCAGTGGGCGCATAACTGTTTCGTAATAAAGCTTGATTTTTTAATTACAGTGTGCTTTTCCTGCATAGTAAGGCTACAGAACGGCTATAGCATGTCTGGTTTTAGAAACGACGTAAGGAATATGCGGAGACCAGTTCGATTTGTCGTCATGCATAACGCAGAAATATTTAACCCTCCTCCTTCGAGGGATGACAGTTTGGTTTAACGAGAGATTAGAAATCGGAGAAAGTAGCTCCTGCTTGTTATAATTATAAAGCTACTTCGACGAGTTAATTATTAACCTCCTTGCAGAAAACCATGTCTCAAGTACTGTCAAATAAGTCTGTTTTTAAACACCAGGCAGGCAAATTTGGAACTATAAAATAAGGCTGTGTAATTAGCGTTTTGGGCTAAGTTAATTTTTGCCGATTGTGGCATGTCGAATGGGTAGATAGAAAAAAGTAAAGGGGATAGTAAGGAGCCTCGTGGGACATCCATTTTTAATTGGCTAATAGCGTACTTCAACGAACTTACTCTGGCAGTAAAGGTTTCTATCTGTTAATTATGAGTGAACTACCGGAGTTAAGTAAAAAAGGAGGCCGACGGTAATCATTTTAAGAACTAGACTATCGTGCCACATTTTATCAGAAGCCTTTTCAATATCTAAAAAGACCATACCTATTACTACTTACCTTTAAAAGCTTTCGTAGCTTCTTCCTTAAGCCTGTGTGTCTGGTGATGTGGAGTAATTTTTTCGAAAAACCAAATTGAAAATTAGGCAAGACGAACATCTATCCACAGTTTTTGGTAACCTAGAAAGGATAATCGCTTCTGCCACCTTTCCTAGGCAGCACAACAAGCTTATTGGGAGGTAATTTTTAACAAAACAGCTAGAGGGCCTAGTTTAAGGTATAAAAATTACTTTGGCTAATTTCCACCTTTTGGGGAAGTAGACAGTGGTAAGTAGTTGATTAATTAATTTTAAAGTCAGAGAAATAGCTCCTGAAGTTAAGTTTGTAAGCATTAAATTAGAAAAACCGTCGGAACCTGAGGCTTTTCTTGTATTATAAGTTCCTCACTGGTGGCAAGCTTAACTTAGTTACATATGTTAGATTTCAAAAGGCAAGCAGTAACTATGGTGGACACGTGCCTGGAATGTTGTTCATTATTGTGGAAATCTATTACAGTTGAGTGGGCTTCCATTGAGCCTGCAAATGCACTTTGTTAATTTCCATAGGAAATTATTCTCTGGCCCAGAAGACTCTAATTTATTCTGCCAGCTTTCGTTAAACCAAGCTTTTAATTTTTCCTTACCTCGAGCGTTGATCTTGTTGTAGTTTTGTATCGCCAGGAACACAAGAGTTTATATACCTTGCCTTCAATTTTCGCCTGATCTGAAATGGTCTGTTAGCTCATATTGCGGATTTCGCGTTCTTCAAGTGAAGTGGACCTACTATAGCCTCCTTTATAGCTTCTTTCATTTACAAAACAGCCGTATCTAAATTGAGGGTTTTCTCAATGGTGCGCGTCACTATGTGTTCCCCAAATGTTGGCCAATTAGTTACCATTTTAACCCCAATACTCGAGGCCGACTTGCCCCTATCTTTATGAAGATGGGGTTATTACCAGAAGAGAGTTCAAATAGCGTATTGACGGTGACAGGCACGTAGGTATTTTGTGTTGCAGTAATATCTGAAATGTCTCAAGCCCCTTCAACTCTGCGATGCGTTGGGCCCTTCGGAGCAATTACAATTAAACCTCTTTTTTATATCTCGGCAAACCTCTTTCCATTGGCGTTCCCTCGCCTGCTATTCCACAATGGGCTTTACAGTCTAAATTTCCAGACATTAAGATGTTGGAGGAATCCGCAAACTCTTATCAACATCAACTTTATGCATAACCTTATCGGGTGATTTATAAGCAGCAAGTATATCCTCTTTCCCATTTGTCAGAGCTCAGTATTCACGGCGACAGCTTCTAAACCTACCAAGTCGAAAACATAGAGTGCTTGGTGGATAACATTCCTTTTAATTAGGACATCTACGCTTTTTCCTCCAGTATCTTCCCTGTCGCGCTTGAAAAGAGAATAGTTAGGTACTCTAAATCGATTAACTCCCTTCAGATGTGTTACAGAGATGAAAATTGTGACTAGTCCATTCGGGCAATAAGTTCCTGTAGTTCTTGCCTCTTGCACTAAACGCCGTTGACATTCCAATGCCAAAAGTTTCAAGAAACTAAGAGCTAACCTCGATTCGTTCAACTTTAAAATTATTTAAATTTTGAAATATCTTCGTTTTGGTCTTAGTCAGATGAGAGCTGATTGCATTGGTAAGTGTTACTATAAAGTTATTCATCATGTCGTTTAAGGGAGTTGTATTAGTTGCTTCAGGTGATAAGTTTAGTTTAGTACGCTGTGCATAGCATATATTTTCTTCAACGAAATTTTCAGGGTTCTTGGAAGCTTTAGTTGAATTATTTTAATAAATTTTTCTCATAGGTGCATACTTCGGGTAGTATATGCATCCTCTATAATTTTAAGGATGCTCCCTTTGGCAATTGGCGCAGGTAGACTTTTTATTCTCGCTTTTTGTGCAGGACTTCGAGGGACACCGCATTGGAAGAATTTGTAGCTTACAGTATTTCTTTATAAGTCC